TGTACGATACAATGATTTGGCGAGAAACGTACGATTTTCGACTAAATTTTGAATAAATATAGTTCTCTAGGAAATTTCCATAAACTCTATAAAAAATCGTTTAATGAAAAATGTAGTTTTCTAATAACTTAAGTTGTAATTCTTAACATAAAAAAATTTTATTTTACTTATTTGTTAGTTTTTAAAATATTAATAGATAAAAAATAATATAAAAAAAAAACTGTACACAGAGAGAATGATTTGTTAGATCTTTAAAACTCTAAATCGCGTAGGTGTATATAAACTATTTATATAAGATTAATTTTGAAATATAAGATGTCAATATATTCGCGTAGTATAATATTTTTTATATTTGAATAAACTTGAACGAGAGACGTTGGAATTTTTATAAAAAAGTCAACGATAAGTCTTGGAGGAACCATATATGGATATCGTAATGACAGATCGCATTTCCCTGAAGACGCCTCGGCGACGAAAGTGTCGTACCGCAATACCACGAAAGAGCAATCACGAGTTGCCGCAGACGAATAATCAAATGCTACCAAGGATGGCTCTGCTACGCTTATTAATTATTTCCAGCACGGGAATGCAGATCGACGGTCCTCGATCAATGGAACGCGATTAAACTCGGCCTCGCGTGCAACGTGCAATATGTACTTCATTACGCAAACTGTTCGTTTGTCAGCACCAAATTTAAACCGGATCATTCGCGAGTCAATAAAATATTTCGATTTTACTATTCGTAGAAAAAAGGTAAACTGAGAATATATTAGCAAATTTATTCATTATTAATGAATTCTCTGATTCATATTTTTTCTCAGCTTATTTTTGACGAAATTAGCTTTCTGTATTTTAAATTGTATCATATTATATTATTATTAAATAGGAGAATAATCATACACACCCCTTAATTTTAATCATTTTTCATCTACTTCCTTAGTACTCTTAATTAACCGCCTTGTTTTAAGTTTATCTTTTTGAAAATTAGTATTATAAATACTGAATATATTTGAACCATATATAGCACATGTACATATAGATTTTTTAAAAAAATCTTTGCAATGTAAACTACTTCCCTTAAAAAGATTAAATAAGACATTAAATGTGAGCATATTACGAAAGAAATAATGTCGGACATGCTATGCGAAACTTATAACGATGCTTTTATTTACGATAATAGTTAGAAAGTTGGTGAGTGTAATGCTACGTAATTTGAAGGAGCTAGTACTTTAAATAATGTCTGCGACACAGTTTTATCTTATTACAATATATTGTGGATATTAATGTGACGTGTTGAACTATTTATATATTATTTTTTAAGCATTTGTTAAATATAATTTTTAAGTAAAGTTTATATGCTACAATAAATAGCTATATAGAATATCACACATTATAATTAATATATATTATAGATGTATAGGATACGATATAAAAAATTGTATATTTAAAGATGTCACTAACATATAAATAATAGCAAAATACTAATATGTGAAAAAATATGATAAAAGAAATAATAGAAATAATAAAAAATTATTAATATTATAAAATTTTATTAATAAATTATTTTAAATAAGCTATTGTAAATATCTTTTATTTTTTCAAGAACAATTTCTTTTAAATATGTTTAAATTGCTAATATATTTCTTAAATTGGACCAAAGATTTTTTTGATGTAAAGTTATTCGATTCTCTATTAATAAACTTGACATCATTCAATCACATCTATGTGAAAAAGAAGGTTCAAGAAATATTTCAATTTATTGCATTATTTGCTCAAAAAGTAAAGTTTATGCAAAAATAATCTTTATTTATATTATTATTTGTTATTTATAATTTTTCTATTATTTGTGCCTATCATTTCTCTCTTGTTAAAGAAAATATTAAACCGCAACATCGCTAATCGACCATCACGTCTATTTACTCGACCACACTAATTTCCAGCATTTCTATTGTAATCGACAAAACTGCGGGTTCTATACGCACAACCGCGACCTCGGTAATGTCGAACCTTTCGCTATCGATCTAAACCGACGACGACGACGGTCACGCTCACTCGAATCGTGCTAAATAAATCGACAAAGTAATAGAAAGTGCATTGCGCTCGACAATGGTAATGACAATCGTAACACGTAATATTGAGTGATGCCGGAAAACAAAGCGGTAATCGATTTCATCGAACAACAAACCGCATATGAAACATATAATGCATTTGCGAATGCATTAGTGAGATAATGCAAATACTTAAATTTTCTCAATGTAATATGGTAAATATTTATTTACCAATATTTATTAGTCAATTATATTTGTATAAACACAGAGAGAATTTATTCTTTAAATTTACTCTGAAGATCATGGGACAATATGGTATTGGAAGAATTTTATAAAAGTTTCTCTGATTAATATTTACCACGATAAAAAATATTAATATCTATTACAATAAGATATAAAATATGTTTGATTAATTTTACTATATATATATTAACATTTTTTTTGTTAAATATTTTAATCATAGAAACTCATAAAATTTTTTAAAATGTTTTAAACATAAAACTTTAAAAAATATATTTAAGTGCTTCGTTTTTGCACTCTTTAATAATCCGTATAATTCGAGAATAAGCGAGTTAAAATAGATGCGTGCATTTACCTCTTGAGATGCAACGGCGAATCAAACACTCCATAAGGAATCACTTAGAGATCACTTAGTCACTTCGCGGATTTTCTTGATAAGTCTCATTGCTCACTCACTGAATGCTGCACTCGCGACTCGTTCCTGAATTTTTTTAATAGTTGTCCTCTTCGGCCTTTTTTGCACACGAGTGGCTTTAATATCCCCAGGCTCACTCGCGATGAAAACCGGATCCGTGGTCCGCAAAAGATATGCTTGTCTTGTCAAAGAAAATATTCGCTTGAAATCATCACATTGCACTTTGGAACACGCTTGTTGAAAGCAACGAAGGTAGAGATCGTTTTTAGATCACGCAGATCTGTCTATTGACAAGCTGGACGAGTTCTAATTTCTTAATATAATGTGTCAACAAAAGTGATACAATGTGAGAAGTATATCGTATCATCTTGAGATGCAAAGAATAAACTGTAATAAGCTATTTTTTTCATTCCTTTTATCTACTTCATCAATCTAATATCCTGTTCTTAGCGTTATATTTCTATTTGCGTTCTGTATAAATATGTAATATCTAGATAAAAACAAAGATAAATATCTAGAGATTTTATTAACAGTAGATATATGGATTTAATATAGAGAACAGTAAATATTGAGACACCGAGTTTAGAAAAAAAAGAAAAAATTACGATTGATATTTCAAATAATCTTATTTACGTCATTTATTTTTGCGCAACACAGTCTTGTAACAAAATGCCGAAAGGCTGGCGTACGTCATGCAAACTTATTTTCTGTACACCGATTTTTCCATTCACATTTGTGTGTAGCAATCGGATTAATGAGTGATATCCGTAATAATTTAATTAGCGGAAACTAATCAATTCCAATAAAACGTTAGTCACGACTCATCATGAATTTTTAATTGATCAACTAAATCCAAGTTGGATTTATCTTTCTTTTTTTTTTAAAGTGGACCACTAACCGAATGTCTGCGGCGGTATATATATATACATATATATATCGTTGCGACCACTTTCTAAAGTGATTAAACTGCTTGCACAAACCGGCGTGATACAAAATATCAGATGATGCGATTACTTTCAACCATTTTCTAGAGCGAACGAAAGGCTGCAGATATTACTTGCGCGCTCGATTGCTCAATACTTTTAAGTTTTTATCTATTGATATTATCAGGGTAAATATATATGGAGGGCAAACAGATTGAAATCGTCTATCTGTGAACAAACTCTCCGCGCATTGGAAAGAAGTATATATTTATTCTATCGCGTATAAAAAAATAGGCATCTGATTTGCGTTACGCTCAGACGACCGCATAATTTCTGATCGAGCCGCCAACACACCTCGTGCACATCCTTGACACCATCTGCCTAAAGGATGTGCTAAAGGTCGGCACCGATGTACATCCTGATGTAATACCAGTAGACGTTTAATTTCGCGACAAAAGTATATAGATTTTCACTTCGCGAAAAATGTTCGGAGTAGAAGCCAACAATAAATCGAATAAATTCATCATTCTTTTAGAAAAAGTCTTTGATCAAAATATAATACACTCTTTCGTCGATCATTTCTTCAGTAAAAGCTAACATGAATATTCCGATACCAAAAATGACCAGATGAAAGTGCGTGAGAGAAGTCAATGGACGGTCGCAGAAATCTTCGAGGAGAAAATAATCGACTCGAGGAGGAAAGTGAAATGATACTTTTATCAAGCTCAATATCGATTGCATCGATTGAAAATAATATCAATGATAAAGTATACGTTTCATTAAGGATGAAATATACGCAATTGTTACGTTGCGTCAAAATCAGTAAATCTTGTTCCGGATTGAGAGCGTTTAAAATCGATATGGAGAGTCGATATTAAGCGCGCACGAGACGATGAAGAACAAGTTTAAGGATAAGCGAAGTTTAACGAATGTTGCTCTAGTCGCGTCCTTGGACGATCTAGTCCCGGAATGATTCCAGTTAACGTTAGCGAATAAGCTCGACCTTAGCTTTCGAAGAGACCAAAGCCACTCTTAACGCGTTGATGATCTGTGAGGTTCTCTCAGAAGATCTGAAACAACATGGACCGAGCGTCTCGTACTGTTGGACCGTTTACCAAGCAATCAAACCTCCAATCAAACATCTCGCGAAAGAGATCATTGAACTCCACAACGCGAATCCGACAGATTTCAACATAATTCACAATTTTTGGTTCCCATCGATCTGACGTTTCTTAAGAAGGCGTCTAGGATTGACTAGGGTGTACGGTGTGAAAATGATAACCATCGAAAAGATCAGACGCGATATCTCGGAGCCGGACATTCGGAAGAAGTTAGGCGCGAGAAACAGATCGGTTCTCAGAGACCAAAACTTACCCGTCCCCATGGCTGACAGCAGCAGCCTCCTTCCGCCTCAATCCTTCCGCGTATCCAGGATCCAATCTTGGCTGAGTTTGTGTTTCACTGCGCGGTAAAGGAAATCATAAAAAAGGGACCACGATGGGTGGGTGCGATATGGTCGAAAGGACGACCTCTTCGTCGTCCAGCCGGGAGACCGCGGACGAACTGGTACCCGGAGAAGACTTTTGGTGAGACTTGGACGTGAGACAACGACGACGTCATCGCTAGCTTGGTGTCTCATTGGCCGACAGTCCTCTTGGTTGCTCGCCTCTCTCTTTCTGCGAGTGCTCCCTTCCTCTCCTTTTCCTTCTACATCGGGCTTCTCTCGAGCGCGGCTCACGTATACGCGTCCTCTCCCTCTCTCGAGCTCTCTTCCTCCTCCTGCTTGCGCTCATTATCTCACCTGCTCTCTCCAGCTCGCATGGTTACCCGAGATATTTCCGTCTCGCTCTGTCGCACTTCCACGGCAGGACTAGACTCACGGTGGAGTCACTATGTGCGCCAAGTCAGTGAGCTCAACGCCTGGAACCAATCTTCCCGACTCGACTTGCATGAAGGCCTGTATAAGGTATACGCGAGGCACGGATAGTCGCGGCATAAGTGTCTCGCTGAATAGACGATACTGTAGGTAAAGGTCAGTTAGCGTTATCTAAGGCCCTGACGCTTTATGTATATTTAGAAGGTAAACGGGTGACCGAACTCCTTTAATAAGCAACCAGAAATCTTGCCTATTTTTTATAATGTTGAAATCTTAATATTTTTATGTTTGAATATAATAGCGATTAGTCGGTTGATACGTTGAAAAAAAACAAAAATATAATAGAACGATCATCATCGTTAAATTGTGGAAGCTTATTGTTAGAAAATATTATTAAAATATGATTTTCTTCAAAATATTATTAAAATAATATGGCTCTTCAAAATATTATTAAAATAATATGACTCTTCAAAATATTATTAAAATAATATGACTTTTCAAAATATTATTAAAATAATATGACTCTTCAAAATAATCTTGAAAAAACTTAATTAATTATTTAAACACTAAGTCACGCAATGGAATTTTTGTTTTTTACATTAATTTGCACACGTTATGCACAATTGAATGAAGATAATATCGTAAAATAAAATTATGCAATAAGACTAAAAAGTGTCGAGTAAATTATAAAAGAGTTATATGCTATGAATTAATAGTGCTATGAATTAATAGATAAAAGAAATGAATTTTTTATAAATTTATCAGTGACCGTACTAAAAAAATCATAGATATTATCTTCAAGGTAACAGATATTCTTCCTGAAAGGTTTAACGATACTAGTTAAACTAGATAATGATTAAATAAAAGCTAAAGTGTTCATTCACCTGAACACTGCAATCATATAAAATTTGTACTTACCTTTACATCAGGAATTGCAATTTCCTCTCTTCCTCTTCAGCGACCAAATGTTGTGGAAGACAAAATGATTTGTAGTTACTGTCCAGTCTTCTATCTGAAACAATGAAAATAAATAATATTAAATCAAATGAACAATGTAATGTAATAACATAATACATTATTAATTATATTTTGTTAAATGAGCTAAGTTTTTTTCAAAAGAAATTAAAAAATTGAATAAATTTAAAAACTATAAAAAATTAATAATAATGCTTATTTTTTTCTATCTTACATATGTTGCTTTATGTGGAAAAAAAAGAATGAGAATTTTCAGAATTTATTCGCGAAATTTAGATATCATATACTATACGTTTATGATCGATTAACTGAAAAGATAGCGTTGCAAATAGAATCATAATAAGCAAATCTTTGCTCAGATTCACGGAAGCTAGAACTGCCAAGGTCTCATGGATCGCTGCTCGATGCCTCAAAAGATTGTGCCTTGTATCACGGATCGTTGCGTCAATCCGCGGAAGAGAAAAATTCATAAGATAAATTTAGATTTAGACAGATCTTAATAAAATATCTATTGTGTGTCATCTTTATAGATTGAGCATCCAGACAAATATCACTATTTCTCATATCTATTTCTGTTCTAAGCGAAATCTATTCTAGTTAAATCTAAAGCTATGTAGCTTTGAACTCAAACTCAAACTTCTTTAAAATAGATGAAATGTTTATCAGTTATTAATTTCAAGTTATGTTACATGTTACATGTAAGAATTTATTGATATTCTATGTATATCACGAAAAAAAATCGGGATGATGAAATGGAAAACGACTTAGAAGATTTTGAGAAAAAATGTTTCAGAATTTTTTTCCGACCTTTGAGGATTTAAAATAATCGAGTTCTAACAAAGATACGCGGATTTTACGCGGTTCTAGTGACACTGTAGCCCGTAGAACCTGCAAGCACGATGGTGTCGGTGAACTCGAGACGCCTCGGGGCATTTCGCAGGCGCGGGTCGCAAGAAGAATCTCGCGGATGCGCAGGCATACACTTTGCATCATTATGTTTAATTTATCGTGCGCGCTTTTGTGCATGCGATTTGACTAATTCGTGCGAGAATAAGCTGCATAACAGTCCCGAGAAGTCTCGCGGACAATCAGCGTTATGAATAAACATTCGCGCCGCGCCGGTTCGAAGCTCTAATGAACGCACTGAATTACCCATCATACGAAGATGAACAAGCACTTCCTAAATTCTACACTTTACTATATAATGTAGATTCCGTGACTAAAGTAAACGCTTCGAGGAGCGGGTTAATTTCTAAATGAGGGCAAACGCTTCTTGCACTTTGTTTTACACTAAGAAGAGAACAAAAACAAGTGTACAGATAAATAAAAAAAGGTACTCTTTTTTTCTCTCTTTCCAGGAACTGAATTTTTTCAAAGAATTTCATCATGTATCATTATAATACTTACCTATTATTTAAATTAATTTTGTATTATAAAAATATTTAGAATAATTAAATATAATTTATTAATGTATGTGCAGAAAAAGTTCATAAAAAATTCTTCGCTCCCATTCACTTCTCAACTTGCTCTTTTTATATTTCTAATTGTCATGAAGTAGCTACTCTCATGCTTACTCATCATTTCTAGGCTTAAAAACTTCTGCGTTATATGAGAGGACTCACTTTTTTGTGCGCTGCGCGTACATAGTGATTCCATCCATTATTAAAGCTATAGTAACGAGCAAAAAATACAGAGCACCCGAAGAGTATCACATTTTTCAATTTTCAGTCTTTCATTACGGTATCTTTTACGTCAATATGAACATTCCATCGTAATATTACTTTTAAACTCAAATCATAAGATCTAATATTTCCATAATTATAGTATATTTTATAATATATATTTCTTTACTATTAGATATTTAAATAATTTAAAATAAATTTTTGCGTGATAGATTTTAATCATCTGTTACTCCATCGTCCTATGCTCGGGGCGATCGAGTACTGCATTCAGTTCAAAGATTAAGTCTATTAAAGCTAATACGCTTGTAATACGAAGATATTTACATGCAAATAAAGCTACAAGATATTTACATTAAAATTTAAATAGTGATATATTCTATACAGTTAATAAAATAATCACAATAATAAAATTGTCATTCGTTCAAATTGGAATTTTTGTATGTTTCATTGATGCACCGTAATCAACACGGCTTCATAATTTTCTAATTAAAATCCGATGACATCTCGATACTTGTACAAGTTGCATTGCTCACTATAAACGCGGTTCTTTTATATTTTTTTGCATTTTATCTTTCACAATTTTAACGTTATTTTTTATGTAAAATTGCAAAAAGAAAATTATAAAATATATTATTAAAATTAAAATATATATTATAAAAATTACATAAAAATTTGCCAGCAAATGCATAACGAAGTCGAAAGGTCTACGGCCCTGCAGAAAGATATTCTTTCGAGCGGCCCGTGGATTTCTCGCAAACCGATTCCTGCAAAACGCTGGTGTAGGGTAACGGGTTTGCGATGGTTCGCGCATTCATTTCGTATTCTCTTCGACGACGCATCCCATCTGCCGCGCCGAGACTGGCGAACGACGTTGATAGCCCGAGCAAGCAGGTTCGACCGATCGAACGCGGCTCGATCGGATTTCAAAAGCTGAAGCGGCGAGTGCAGGCGCCCGGTGTGAAACCGCCTTGTAAACGATGACTATCGATGTTTTGTACACTTCGTCGACCGTGTTTAGGGCACGCGTCCACGTGAGACGAGATATTATACACTACACTAGTCACCTGTGTCCCTAACCGCAGAGATCGGATGCATATGATACTTTTTTATGTTCAATTAAGAAAAAAATTCACTCAAATCTATATTTCGTTAACATTCGCGTATGCGTACTGCACTGAAAAAAATTATTAAATCAATAAATATTTATTTCAATACTGCCTTATACATCATTTGTTTGAAACATAGATATATATAAATAAATATTTATCTGTTTTGAAAAGAATTATCTTAACAAATAAATATTTTTTTACATCAAATCAACATTATATAAATTATTTATAAAGGAGTAATTGAAATAAATATTTATTCGAAATCAATAAATTTTTTTTCAGTGTGAGAATATGAATTTAATCGCTTACGAATTCTCGTACCTGCGCGCGTAGAAAGATATCTTTCTCATAAATCGCAGGATATAGATGCACGCACGCATATAGGTATAGGTAGGTGAACTGAGAAATAAAGGAGGTCCATTCTGTTGCAATTATTTAAGCGCGTAATAGTACGTCATATCGATGACGACCGCAGTAAAATATAAGCAAACGAAATTTCTAATTTATATGTTCGCATTTATCATAGCGCGGATGATTACGCGAATGAGCGTGGATATAAGCATCCCCGATAAAACATAAACTCATTGGCGGTAAATTTCCAACAACTCCCCTTTGCTTATACGATATTACGCTGAGTTCTTACCCGAGGGCCTTAAGCATGTACGCATTCCACGGGATACTCTATTATGTAAATAATTATCCACGACCACTCGTGCGTAAACGGCTGGCCGTGAATCGTCGCATATGACTTAAACTTAAATGCAACAAAAAGAAAAAAAGAAAAAATCCATAAAATTACTCGCGGATATATTTTATCGTCCATGAATAAACTAAACATTGCGATTAAGCAGTATCTTCTTACGCTCGTATCATTCTGATAACGGCATGCAAGGCGAATTGAGGGAATACACGAAGAGGAGGTTTTACCGTGATAATTGGCCAATTTGCGAACGTAGTGCTAGACACGTGTCCGTCTTTCAAGTGCAGTGAATGATCGCTGCCGATCCGTTCATTCATCATTGCGTTACGCAACAATGCAATATACGCATATATACGCATCTCGAATGCGCGCGCGCGCATCCGATAATGCGCTTCTTTCCGCGAGCCGAGCGCGCAAACAGGAATTCCTAGATTACTCGATGCTGTATCGTGCTAATAATCGCTCTGGCGATAACGTCGAACGATTTCCATTTATCGTAAATCATTGTCATGAACAAATTATGTAAACGAAAAATACCTGCGCGTAAATTAGTAATTAACGAAGCAAAATATGATCAGAATCTCTCATATTAATTAATACTATATTAATATTATTAATTTAATATTATTTTAAATATTATTAAATATAAATATATTTAAAACTCTTTAATATTTTATCGCTTAATCGATTTGTGTAATAAAATTGTTTATTATTGATTTAACGAAAGAAATGGAATTAAAGAGGAAACGAAACAAGTGACTATTATTAAAATTTTTAAATGGATTTCTTATGTACATAATTAGCATGTATATACTGAACTCGAATTAATGTAGTTGGCGCCAGAGAATTATTGCATCCTTTTTTTGTCAGAGAACGATAATTAAAGGCAATGATGACATCAGATATGTCAAGAAAACACACGCGCGTCCAAGGCAACATTCTTATATCGGGCGTTGAAATCACCGAGTGTATAATTGCATGCGCGCTTATTGATTTCGAACATTGAAATCACAGAGTATGATTCCGCGTTCGCGTTTATTAATTTTCAGCATTGAAATATCCGAAAGTGACATTTAGCGCCTATTTGTCTAATATTTTTTTTGTAATTTTTATATTAAATTATAAAAGAGTAACATATACATATTATCAAGGCAAACAAAATCAAATTTCAAAGGATTGTTTCGGAGATATGTTTATAAGCTTAGGGTACTAAAACTTATAAGTTCATCACTGCGTCGAGTTATTTCCGACTAGAATCAACGACCGAAGATTCACGGGCGTGTGCGATGGATATATGTACAGCAACATATCTTTTAGTTTGCAAGTTACACCGTGTAACGGAAGCGCAGGAACGGAAGTCACTTTCGGTTTTCAATACTCATTATCCGCTACGATGTGCATTAACGACTCTATCTCATGATTACCTCGCTTGCGTAATTATTCGCTTATCCTCACGGCTAACATCCTCCGTTTACTGCCTTCTTAATTTTCATTCCTTTGCTATGATTGCTTCTGGCTTCGCAGCTGACGCGAATCTTCTTATGAAAAAAGAAGAATGAGAATTCTACAAAAAAATAACAGAATCAAAAGAATTAATTTCATGCGGTTGACTTTTTCTTTGAAATTATAATATGACTTATGCTTTCATCTTAAGACTATCAAAACTGCTTTTTTTATTATACATGAAAAATTATAAATAAGTATACAGTTTAATTTAATTTCTTTAATTTCTTTAAAATAAAAACAAGTGTAATTGATAATAAAATATAGATTAGAAAAAATCAATAATTTTATAAAGTATTTAACTTTTACTGAGAAATTTAATTATTTTTAATTAAGATACTTTTACTTAAGAGAGAGATTACTTTCTTATAAAAAAAGATTAAAGAAATAAATTTTCCCAGAAAATGCTTATATAAGTAGATTATAATATTTTCTTTAAAAATTAAAAACTAATTTTTAATTTGTATTTACTTAAGTTTTGACATATATTATATGCGCGTTTTATAAAAAGACGCCTAAAAATTGCACGAATAACACTTTCTCCGAAATCAACAGCTTCACAGAACAGAATTTTCGAGACCCTGATATTTCGCAAGCCAATGTATTACAGTCGGCTACGTGGGCAGTCAAATGTCCGTATGCATCCCACGCACACGCCATCGCATTTCACACCAAATCGAGTGCCGGGATGTTTTCTTTTCGAAGAAAAAGAATTTGGAATTTCTCACAAATATCATTGATGCCTTAATAAATGCATTCTAAGAAACGTAGAAAATGCATAAATTCTGCAAATATATATATATATATATATATATATATATATATATATATATATATATATAAAGTATCACTAAAAATATTTAAAAAAGAAAATAAAAGGAGAGAATATAGATAATTTAATATTCTACAAGTCTAATAATAAAGTACAAGAATAATAGAGACTACAATAATTTATAAAATAAATAAATAACTTTTAACATTAATAAAGTGATTCCTGAGACATTTGATGTTGAAATACGACTATGAAATAATCGTCGAAATAAAGGGATAGAAAATGTTTTTTTTGTTTCAAAATATATAAATTAAAGCAAATTTGAATAACCATATGTGTGCGGCATCATCAATAAGTAAATCGATATGTTCTATTTAATGAAATAATATTTCGACTTATTATTAGTAATTAAAGGAATATAAAATGATACGAACATGTATTTTCGTGGTGTTACAGCATCGCCAGGATCTATAGATCCTTAATAGACGTCCAGGGTCATCAGGATTGAGCAAAAGGGATGGATTGAAGATTCTTAAATTCTCGCAGGTTCTTAAGGACAATGGTTTTCACAGGATATGCGGTGGAGATGGGCTGGAACAGGAATAGCAAGAATGACGTAAGCGCCCAATGTACCACACAGCGCACACATTATTCGCATGTATTCGCACGTATCACACACATACATAAACACACACAAACGAGTCCGGACCCGTTCTCCGGTGTTAGTTCCCATCGTCGATGAACATCGGTTCAGTCACCACTGCAAATAACCGAAGAAACCAATGCGATCGGCTTGCGACATTTTCTTCTTCCCGTACGAGATATTTCTATCTAGAGTTTTTGCCAACATTTATTTTGCGAATGTAGACGATTATAAAGTTTATTATCAGTAAAATTAAAATAAAAAAGTTCATTTTTTCTCATTTTTCTTGCATTATTAAAAATAAGATAAATCGCAGATTCAAGGATGCTGGAAATAAAATTAGATACAATTTTTTATTACTTATGCATTTAAAAAGATCATAACACAAATAAAAAATTAGCTATTGCTCATCAAGACTCGAGGAAAAAATCCTGTACATAAAGGATAAAGATGATAGAAGATAAAGAAGATATACAGACATATATGTTATATATAATTATATATATTTATATGTAATTATATATGGATTTTTTCCCCTAAGATTGATTATCAGAATATATAAGATTCATATAATGAAGAATAATAAAGAATGTTAGAAACGAGCTCAAGGGAATTCTTGCATGCTTTGGAAGTAAGATTAAACGCCTTGCAGGCGACAAGTCGCATGAAGAGGACGTGCCTGGAACATAAAATTAAAGTTACATTGTTGAACGCGCGCGACAAAAATTGCAATGGCACGTAGCAACGGTGAATCCGATCTTTACTTTTGCAAGCTAAATATAACTCGTTAAAAATATTTTTATATATATGTATATGCATATTCTACAAGTCTATGCTGTATGGATGTGTATAAAAAATATGTAAATTAATATATAAAACATGAGTAAAAAATGAAACAAAATTAGAATAAAAGATTATCACTGAGATCAAAGATCATTATGAATTTTTTTCATTTTTGAAATTACATATTTTATTTAAATTGATGTTTAATTCTCTCATGATAATCCTCAAAATTTTTTAATTTAGGGCTATTCTTTGGATACGTCAAAATGAGTTCTCTTGATTATTACACATACTTAAATATAAAAATGAAAGTTTATTATGTAAAAATATGCAGCTCCAGAAACACATTTCAATTGCATCCCACTCGCGTTACACCGGATTCAAGGTGATGTGCGAGTGGTATCGCGAAGCGACCGGATGCATCGGTATAATGTATCCGTAATCACAAATGATTCTGTCCTTCGATACTAGTTCGCCTAGCGAAAGTCACGGGGACGATCGTAGGCACGTTGGTATCTACGACCTAATAAGAGAAATATGATCCATTACAAGTGAGACCCTCCACTTTGAAGTTTCTCAAGATCAATATACGACCTCTACGGTCGCTCGTAGAAAATCGACGAAACGTGAAGGAATTTTTGCGAAGTATATGACATATAATGAGAAGTTATATTACACGATATATCGAAAATCATTATTATAAAAGAGAATTCATTTGTTATACTCAATTTCGGAAATATAAAATAAATTTCAAGTTTTATATTAAAAAAATATTAATATAAACTTTTATACAAATATATGCAATTTTCATATAAATATCTGTTTTGTATAATTGTTTACAGATATTTTTTTAATATTATAGAATTTTTTATATGGCAATAAGAAGCGCATTTTGAACTTTTACACTCTTGTATCGTCGTGATCAGACTCATGCATATAGAAAGTTCTGTGTGGGCTAACATGCGTGGGTAGATTGGCCTTCAGAGTCCTTCGCTGGAAAAGATCAGGATCGTCAGGCGTGGGCTTCCGGTGGGAGGAGTAGCGAGATAAAAAATATCATTACTTATTCTACCATTATATATAACTGTATCTATAGTGATTGAGAAGATGATTTTATGAGCATCTCTAAATCACATAACTTTAATTAATAAACAGAAAACAATATGTATTTATGTATCTAATTTATATTAGATATATATTGAGGAAGTATATGCTCTCTGAATATAAAAGTAATGTCTATGTAAATAAAAAATTTTATATTATCGACAATTTTTATATAAAATTGTAATGTATCGATTTGGAGTAGATGGAATATGTAATATTGAATTAACATGTGTGTGTGTAATATTAGAATTTCTTGTTTATGTATAGAAAATAAAACACAATACATACTTGATTTTGTATTTAATTAATCTACTGCTATGCTTTAACAGATTTATTTTTATTTGGCTGCTTTCTCCGTTCTTTTTGTTTTTCTTTTTCCTTAGCATCATTGATGCGTCTCTTCTTCCGCAAGAGCCAGATTTCTTTAGCTCTTTCCTCTCGACCTTTCATCATACTCTTATACAAATTGCGATGCTTCTTTTTAATCATCTTCTCTCTAAGACGATATTCTTGTTTTTCTCGTTTGGCTTTTTCCCATGGATTTTCCTTCGTAATTTCACCAGCTTGTACCTTCATTTCCTTTTTCTGCAATTTTAATAAATTATTGATAGTGAGAATTTATTTTTTTTTATATTATTTTATATAAGAGATATGGAAAAAATTATAACCTTTTCCAATTGAGTTTGTTTCTTCTTTTTATTTTTTTCGTCTTCAGCAATCTGTACATCATCATCATTATCATCATCATCATCCTCCTCCTCTTCTTCTTCTTTTTCAATCTCTTCATTCCTTCCTGATTTTAGATCATCCTGAACTTCCATTTCTTCTTCTTCATCCTCATTCTTATCATCACTTTCTGCTTCTTCATCTGAATCTACTTCCACTAGAAGTGCAAATACAAATTAGATATACTTACATTTTTTCAATTATATATATATTTGAAACTGAAACCTTACAATTGTCTAGTTTATAATCAGGATCCATAAGAGCACGTTCTTCTGGAGGAATGTAAGTTTGATCGTGTCGATTATCTGTAAATGGTGAGAGATGAGGAGGAAGTACAGCACCCATTAAATATTTTTCCACAGGTAATAATTCTCTCGCGTTGACACTATCAAAAATCCATTGCGGTTGTATGTAATATCTAGAAGAAAAAAATATTATATTAGCAACTCGAGAAAAAATTACATTAAAACATGAAAATGCTGAACAATATAAAGTGTAAATTATAATATAAATATAGTACCTTGATACATATTGTTTATTCATGCTTGGTCTATCTACAATCTGATGAGTTATTGTTTCATCATTCTCATCAAAAGTGGCACCAACAAAGAGTAATTTATCCCAAGAAACTTCTCCACTAAAGCAACGCAAAATGAATACTAAGGGTTCTCTGGGTACTTCTCTATTAATAAAGACTTTTATGCCCTTGAACAAATTCTTCAATTTTCGTATTTTTTCAGCTTCTACCCTAGCAGCTTCTATCTTGGTAGCATCTGTCTCCTAAAAAGCATAATCAATAAAGCTTTTGTGTTTTACATGCATATATCTGATACATAAAACATAAAATTCAATAAAATTTACATTTGAAAATTGATCTATTTCAACTTCTTCATCTTCAATCGCTGATGTGGAAGGATCCAAGCTGACTAATGATATATTCAATGCATTTATTCTTTCCGACACATATGCTTCTTCATCAACGAGTTTTTCTCGATATTTCCTGTATAATAAAACGTTAATTTTTAAAATTTTTAAATTAAAATAAAGTTCTTATTTTACTTTGAAAAGTAAAGTAAGATTAGTAAATTAATAAGTATTAATAAATTAATAAGCAATCCTGCTTACCAGTATTTGTCAATTTTGGAGGATAATGTAAATTCAAAGTATGATACAGTCTGTAATTAACAAAACCAAGCATCACAATATAAAATTCTACAAATGTAGACATGATTTTAAAATCAACTTCGTTCTTTGCTTGAGGTTCGAAACAAAAGTGATGGGGCACTATCCATGTTATTGTTTGCCCTTTTATCTCTGCCTGATAATAATATCCTTTAATAGATACAAACACTTTACGCAGTGCTTTGGAATATATAACAGCATGGAGGAATTCAATTGTTAATCTCCTGCATAATAACGACTGATCTCTTGGTATATGAGACAATGATGGAAATGTACTGAATAGAAAACAGAGAGTTAAACAGTCATCTAAATCGCGCAAAGCATCTATGAATGTTGGATAACGTTCTTTGACTATATGATCCAATTTTAATGTAGGATGATTACTCAAATATCTTTTTACTTTGGCAAAATCTTTCATTGCTTTTGCCCGTCCAATTTTTCTATTGAATATCTGAAAATATATGTTTATAAATATATGCTTATGAAACATATTATAGTTTCAATAAAATGTATATACCTTGTAATCTCTTAGCTTCCATATCATCGGTTCGTGCATCAAAAATTGAATATCTTTCTTATGATATAAAGTTTTAATCCCAGGTTCACCCTTTGTGCTCTTTTACGATTACGCGGTTCCCTCGGATATATACCTTTCAATATGCATAATTTACGAAAATCATTTAGTGTCAATTGTAATTTTCTGAGAGCAGCTCTCCTTGTTATAAACTGCGCACCTTCACCACTTTCATACTGTAAATTTAAAAAGATATCAATTTTAATCCACATCAATTACGCTAAATCCCTTAATTTTTCTTGTGTTCATAATCTTTATATCGAAAATCATTTTCTTAATCTATATAATAAGATATATTATAATATAAAATCGATTTACCTTCTTTTTACCTATCACAACCATTGTGTTATATATATATATTCGAGTTTATATCCGAATAATTAATATTTATACACCAAAGCCACATAAAACACGTGTCAAATTAACACGTGAAAATAATGAACAAGAATCGAAACGATCAAGATGGACGTCTGTTTTTAATATTGTCATGGCGACCATTTAAAATGGACATTCAAATACCAGCCAATCAGCGCGATGGATTAAATTCTTCATGGAAGCTAACCTTAAAAATTAACTAGGGTATCGATTTCACTTAGTCTGCATTCGCTCCAGGGGCAAAGTCTGTTGGTAATGTCAAACGAATTTAGCCTAGACTCGCACCAGGGGCAAAGTTTTTTGGTCAAGTCTCCGAAATTTAGCACGGACTCGAACCAGGGGCAAAGTGTGTCGGTAAGGGTGCAAAGTTTATCGCACGAAGATGGCAGTCTCTTCTTTAGGCAGGCCTTTGGCGATCTGTCTATTAATCTGTGTCGATTTTGTATATAACTTTTTCACGCGTTTTCACTTTAGAAAAAATTACAGAATTGATACCTTGGTCTCTTTATACACGAAATACAAGAAATTTGTATAATACAAAAAATGTACATACAAATTATAGAATATAAATATATATAAAATATAAAATTCTACAATATAAACATATATTAAATACAAGACTCCCTTATATTTGCGACATAAATACAAACACTATTATTTTTTTTATTGTAATATTTTTGATTGCTCACAGCACATATATATACAAAAAATTGTTAATATATTGATCATATACCTAATCATCTTCTGAATCATTACCCTCATCACTTTCGTCTTCCAATTCTGGCATAGGAAAACGTAATAAGGCTGCGATACCAGTTAATTGATCTAATTCTGCATAAAAAATCATATTTTATTATATTTAAAATAATAACAATATTTTACAAATAAAAAACTTACTGGAGATTTTATATTTCACAAGTTTGATGTAAATATCATTTATATATACTTACGTTCACCCGAGACATGCAGACTTGAAAATATTTTGACATCTCCACCAGAGTCTTTCACATTTTCAACTAGCTCCACATATTCCTTTCTCAGTGCAATATCCTGGCACCTGAATAAAACAAGTAAAGATATGTAACAAAATGTATTGTAAAGTACAATTAATCAAATTCAATGCTAATATAAGTAAGGAAGAAATAAAATAATTACCTGAATAATTTATCTGATATAAGTAGAATTTCCACTGCTTGAGCAGCATTAGCTTTCTCGACATGTTTCTTGCCATAAAATGCTCTGGCAGGATCCATTTGCAAAGTGGTATAAAATGTTTCTAAAGCCCTTACTTCTCCTGCTGCTTTAGTATCAGAAATTCGAGATACTACAGCAGGATCAGCCAGAACCTCTGTTATAATAATGAAGTTATAATAATAATAGAAACTATTGTATCATACAAGCGCTATATTTGTTTACATTTTGCATGGATAGATATATACTACCTTTTAATGAATGTTTAAAACCTGAACTAGCATGAACTAGCAAAAATTTACTTTTATTCTCTAAGATAATTTTATTATCAGATTTAACGGCTTGCTGTATCATATAGTCCATAAACTGATCTTTCACAAAACCAGGACTGGCAAGGATAACACATTTCACTAAATCGAAATTGATGTGTCTTAATATGCCTTGCATAACGCTCTCATAAAAACGTGTCAAACCCTAAATATGCATCAAATTAAATTTCTACTTATGCTTCTGTCACATAACATTTATACTAAACATTTATGATATTTTTCAAACCTTTTCATGTTGTGAAACATTTCCTTTCCTTTTTCTTGGTATAACTTGATCAATCTTTGCACGAACTATTGTCATGTTGGATGTTATCAGACAAATATGCGCTATACCTTCTTGCATAATTGCAGCAGCTACATCAGCATTCTAATATAAAATATAAAAAAAGATAATTAATTATACAAATAATAAATTATATAATCATTATTTCTAACTCTTTTTAAAATACTAACCTGAGCAGGATCGCATGCAGTGTCGACTCTTTCCAAAGAAATAGAATCCCATTTGGGTTTAGTAATAGTAAATTTTCGATTTTGTTCGACATCCAATGTATGATATGCCCCCATCTAAGTAGAATAAAAATCAGATAATTATACATCAAAACCTTATAATAATTTAGTAATACACGTACATTATTTAGACATTTACAACAATTCATATTACCAAGTATGTATATATGTAATCTAATAGAATTTATAACACATTAAAATCAGTAAGATTTATCATGAATCATCCTTTCATTTGGATAAAAATACATATATTATTCACATTGTTATGGAAACTGACAACTCAAGAAAGTCAGTTTCTATAACAATGGAAACTGACAACTCAAGAAAGTCAGTTTCTATAACAATGGAAACTGACAACTCAAGAAAGTCAGTTTCTATAACAATGTGAGTAATAAAATTATATGTTTAACTTAAACATATGAAAACAATTGTGTGTGTCATCTCACAATGTATCAATTTCTATATAGAAAAATTTACTGAAATTTCTCATAAACTCGTATACCCTAATAATATATGAGAACAAACACTAAGAATAAAATATTCATGAACTCTAAACTTTGCTATTGTTAAATACTCTACCTTAACATATTTATTTTCTTCGACATTTCTACCTTTAAGCCTTAGAACACATGCTTGTGTATCAAAGTCGATATTTTCTACGCTTATTGTAAGAGTAGTTCTAACTCTATAACTGTTAGAACTGCCAGTTGCAGATTCCATTTGCACTTTTCTATATTGAACACAAAGAATTGATAAAATATTATTGATAAATACTAATTTACCATACAATTACTTTAAAATAAAAAGTTTAGCATACCTAATAGTAGAACAGCTTACTAAGTCTCCTTCGCTAATTAGATTATAAGCGTGCCACATATCCTCTGTATTTTCAGGAACAAGAGCTACGCTCCTAAAAAAAACCATATAAATTTTAGCATTAGAATTTTATAATATAAATATTTATAATAATAACATATATGATATAAAAAATATATTTACCCTTCTCCATCTTTATCTACATTTCTTGATACTAACTTCATCTTGAAATTTTTTTTCTATCTAAAATATAAAAGAAGCATAATATATATTTAAAATATAAAAATAAAACGCGTTTATTACCATTGCACTATTATGTGTAATATACAAAATTACATTTTGTAAGTTACACTTATTTCTCTATGAAAAATTCTATTTCTATATCTACAAAAAAATAATATTTAACAAATACCCGATATTATATCTTTATTATACAAAAATAAACAATTTTATTATATTTTAGGAAAAAATAAGTTTATATAGGTTAAACACATAACTTAATTGAAAATGTATATAAGGATCCAATATAATGTTATAGATTTACCTGTACAGTTATTGCACTATTATAAACGTAGGAACATTATCCAATTCATGTTTTTTTCTTACTTGAAATGTTACACAGTAAATAATGCCATATGTCAAACATGATATCTGTCGCTTTTTGATCGGCGATTGCATTTGCAACGTGATTGGTTAACCTCGAAACAATCTGGAAAATTTCAGATGGCGCTTTTTGTTTAAATATATATATTTCACAAATACAAATTTTTATTTTTATCACATTTATATAATAACGTATCGTTTAATTTCTTTATACATCTTATTAATAAGAAATAATACAAATATATATATTATTGACATATATATATATTGATATCAAATTATGTAAACATTTTTAAATCCATTTAAATAACACATATTAATATTACTGCTCTAACAGTCATATACATTAATGCACACAAGTTTTAAATTTAAATAGTAAATACTTGCATAATAGAAAGTTACACGAATCTTACTATGACAGATAATCTCTTTTTTTCCAAGTACATTTAATATAAATTAAAAACTTGAAGATTTAAGGATAGAAGACTGTATGCGAAGCCAGCCTTTTTAATCTTTTTTTCCGAAAAAATATATAATAAAAAAAAATTAAATTAACTCAATGAAAATATATATACTTAAAAGTTATTGACATTTCTGACATAACTTTAGAATAACTAAATTTTACAACTTTATTTAAACATCTTTGATAAGTTCTCTTTTTGTGCACTGTTTTTCTTTTTAATAGCTGCTGCAAATATTTGTAATTCTTTTTCAACAGTTTTATGTAAAGAAGGATCGATTTCAGCAGCTCTCCTTAAATCTTTAATAGCATTCTCTTCATCCCATGTATTAATATATGCTTTACCTCTTCGATAGAGAGCTTTCACATTATCTGCAAATTAAAAATAAATTTCTTCTGTCAGATATATATATATAATTTGTTTATATAATATAATTTTATAAATAAATTTATTGAACCTGATTCTGTTTTTAGAACTGTTGAACAATGTTCAATAACTGAATAATATTCCTTATTTAAGAGTTTACATTGTGCGTAATTCAAAAGTAATGGTATCTTCATTTGATTTAAAGATAACCATTCTTCATCATTTGATTTTTCACTGAAAATCCAATTTTAATTTATATATAAAAATATTCTTTATAATTATTGACATAACATTATCTCCCTATAAGCGCATGATATTATTTAATATTTAAGCAATATTCTAGGCGTATATTTACAATATTTAATATTCTAAGAATACACCTAGAATATTAAATAATATCATGCGCTTATAGGGCTTATATACTTAATTAAATTTAAAAGAACATAATATATTATAAGTAAAATTTACATTAACATAAGTTGTTCCAACATTCCAATAGCTTTTGCATATGTTTCTGATGCACTATTATATTTTTTTTCTTTGAATAAAGCATTTCCCTTTTCCTTTAAATGTGGAATGTTTTCAAGCTTTTCATCCTCTGTCATTTGCCATGATTCTTTCTCATATTCATCTGGTAATATCACTTTGACAAGTTCTATCAAATATAATAGTATTTATTGGTTTTACTATAATATTCTATACTACACTTAAATTAAAAGAAATATATCTTTATACTTTTGAGAGAAAGATTTTATATTTATACCTATTGTAAATTCCAGATCTTCAGGATGCTTTATAAGTTCATTCAAATCAGCGTAACCAATGCCTTCATTCTGAAGAGTAACACCGCAGCAATGATGATTACGCTTTTCTGATTGCGGCTTACCAGCTTCTCTTAGTGTTTTAGAAACAAAAGGGTATGCAGTCACTAGCTAAAGCAAAATTCGTAATAAAAAACACTCCAAAAGCATATTCTAAAAAATAACAATATATGTTTATAACAATAAATATTGCAAACATACACTTTTATGTACTTTAAAACAGGCAACTTCATTCAATGCCATCTTTTGTATAATTGCTTCCCACACTTCCAATTTAAATTTTTTGCCTAGTACAAGTTCCATTGGATTTCCCATTATCCTACTGTCGTCTATCAATGTTTTGTCAAAATCACATTTTATAGTCTTGAAATGAAATATTACCTAGAAATATAAAATAATGAAAGAGTTATAAATAACTAATATATTTGTATAACAATATATTTATGATAAGAGATACCTTTGTTCCTGGTATAAAATTGATAGTTTTTGTTCCAGCATGAATAACAGTTTTTATTATACAGTCTTCGTCACTCATGATGTGGCATGTATGTATCTAGACAAACAATCAAGGAATAAATATGTAATATTTTATTTTTATAATTTTTTATACATATTCGTTTTTATCTATCAAACTGAAAAGATTAATAAAAATAACTGATAAAATTAAGATTTTCTTTCTTTCAGTATATGTATTACATAATTAAAATGTATGCATATGTATTTCGTAGACAATATAAATTATGTATGATATATGTATGCAAATATATTTTTTAAATGTCATTATATTGGTAAATTATTATGGCAATATAAACAAGAAAAATATTAAATAAATATTACATAAATATTAAGAAATAAAATTGAGGTAAAATTTTCCTTGTGTTTTCTGGAACAATTACTTTTATATGTATCGTTACTGAAGTTACTCATTAGGCACCACCGTCAAGTTCACACATATATATACTCTGTGTGAAATATATTATATTAATAAATATATTAATAAGTGTGTCTGTGATATTGTTGATTTTAAAAAATTATGATAACCTTTATTTATATATTATGTGACTTCCATATGTATCTTTATAATCCATATTTATTCCATATGTCACTTTATAATCAATTGTTAATTTAATCACGACTAAGGCACGTGTTCTTTATTATACACACACATGTTAATATACACATATATATGCATAAGAATGTTTATATTTTTCACATGCAGTAATACATTTGTCATTGTGTGAGACGAGTGGTTATATTCAAAATTGGTGCAGTTCATCAGGTATGAATTCATATATGTGTATTCATCATAATGTGGATTCATACACATACATATGGAAATTTCTCTGCTAATCAAAGAAATACATATAATTTTATGCATGATATTAAATACAAAAAATACGAGATAATACAATATTTTATGCATTGCAATTTTTGATTTCGCTCTACTGATAGAACACATAATATGCTAATTAGTCTAGTAAAGAATTGCGTAAGTTATACAAATATGCTGTGATTTGCTCGCATAATTCTGTCGAAATTTGTTCTTTCTTTCTTTTTCTCAGAAAAAAAATATATAATATACATGTATATTTAGAAAAGCAAAAACGTGTATGACGTCTATATATATTTTAGGAAGAGAAAAAACAAGAAAGGTTATATTATATATAGAAATCTTGGTGATATACGTTAAATTAAAGTAAATATATAGTAGATAGAGAATTTTTTTAAATATCTGGTGTATTTATTTAAATTTTCTATATTTTTGTGTATATATAAAGAGAGAAATTGGAATCACAATGTCTGACATGTTACGTTTCCACATACGTATAAAAAAATTCATCACTTACGTTTCTAACAGAAAGAATGCAATACGCTTACGTTAAACATATGATTGATTCATTTTCTCTATTCGTGCGCTCTATGCAAATCCATCTGAATTACTGAATCATTTCCTCCTTTCTTCCCCTTCCTACTCCGAATGAATTAAAGAGCGCAGCTATTCTTCGGTCACGTGATTTATTTCGGGAAGGATAGAACAGTCGTAAAAAGGGTTTGGAGCACAAGAGTTGTACCTTTGACTTTTACTTATTAAGGGAATGGCGCGATATGGATATCTTCACGATTATGTAAAATAAGGAACGAGGACAACGTCACCTCCTATTAAAGGTTTTTGTCTATATATAAACTGACAGGTTGCTTAGATTTTAGATCAATGCATTTTATTGACGTTAAAAAATGCTTCGAATTGTTCGATTCAAGAGGATAAAAAGATATTTGATTAATAGAACGGCTTTTTTTATTGAACACTCATACATACAGCTTGATGTATTATTGTAAAATGTAAAATATTATCTTTCCTTTTGATAAAGTAGACACGATAAAATATTTTTTTTTTTAGAATGAATAAGCGTTTCTACTTCTTTTGCGTATGTGAAATACATGAATTTTAACAAGTTGATGACGAAATTCTCTGTTTACTATATATATTTGTTTAAAATGCATTTTACCTTTTAATAAACTTGCTCCTGTAGTATTATCTAATCTTTCGACTGATGTTAATGTATTTACGATTTCTCTTAAGTTTTACCAAACAAAACGTGATCCGCAGGGATTTTGAGTGAATATAAATTTCAACTGAAAATTATTACACAGTAAAATGGATTCTACGAGGAAGAATAACTCCGTTGACAGTTCTGTGAATGGATTTAAGAAGGAAGGTTAGTTGTCAAATATATAATTATTTTACAGCATGCATTACGTAGCTAGAGATAATTTTATCATAATTAAATATCTGCTTTAGATGTCAAAGAGGTTCAGATACCAATGCCATGGGGTCACATCAGTGGTCAGTAAGAATTATATCTTACTTCCTACAACTTATTTCTTAATCGTTCATTTCAATATCAAATATTATATTCATATATGAGCCTAGAACACTCAATTGTGTGCACAATATTATGCAATGTGTGTAGAAACAAAATAATTATTTATATTGGATTATTGGAATATTCAAACCATATCTCTTAAAACTTATAGTATTGTGGAATTGTCCTACTTTGTATTACATTAAACCTCAAATTTCAATGTGTGTCAAATTCAAAATATTGGTAAATTTAGGAAAAAGGTGGGGACCGGCAGATAAACAGCCTATAGTGGCAATACATGGTTGGCAGGACAATGCAGGAAGTTTTGACAACTTGGCACAATTGTTGCCGTCAAATATAGCTATACTAAGCATAGATCTGCCTGGTCATGGCTATTCTTCTCATCTACACTACGGACAATTCTACTATGTATTTTGGGATGGGGTTATCACACTACGTAGAATTATTAAATATTACAAGTGGAACAAGGTTAGCTAGCGAGTTAATGTTATACAACGATTTAAATTTATTTTTGTAGCTTAATATGTATATAAAAGTAATGTTGAAAGTATAAAATAGCTTGTATATGCTTGGTTTTGGAGTTTAAATTGCAATTGCTATTTAATGTTATGTAAAAAATATATGTAAAATATTTACATTATTTATTTTGCTATTTTTTAATATGTATATTTTTAGCTTGAAACATAATTTGCATTTTCAGAGTGATATCTTTACATTAAACTGCAACACATTATTAAAATTCGCTATTTAATATTCACATTGCATTATCATATTGCTCTAACCATCATAATTATTAATAATTTATATTTTAAAAAGGTTGACTGTTATACAAAAAACAATATAAACAATATATCTAAATGATTAAAACTATTGCTTTTAATTATATGCATATATATTATATATAATTTAAAACATACTATAGACTAGAAGAGAATATTGTTGTATAACTATATGTATTGTGTTATATTCACAATTAGTATAATGAACAAAGAAACTCTTTAAAGAAACTCAGCTGTAACTTTGTTGCATTTTCAAAAATGGATAACTATATGATTTTTCTTATTTAACAAATTACTGCAGATTCATAAGAGAAAGATGCGTGCCTTGATAAAAAAATGTAAATAATTTAAAAGATAAATTCAAGTTTAAAATTAATTATGGGACTCTTATACCTGCAGGCAAATGGTGGGGCCCTAAAGAGGTCCAACCGATAGTGGCACTGCATGGTCGTCAGGATAATGCAGGCACTTTTGACACATTAATGCCATTGATGCCCGATGATGTTTCTGTTCTTTGCTTGGATATGCCGGGACACGGTTTATCTTCACATTATCCAAAATATCAATACTATTATGTCTATTGCGATGGTGTCATATTCCTTCGTAAAGTCATTAAATATTTCAAATGGGAGAAGGTTAGCGAATAGATGAATTTATCACATTTATCATACACTCAGTCAATAATATTACTGATTAATTTAATATTAAAAAATCTAAGCAATAATATCACGTTTATATCAACTCACAGCATAATGTATATCTAACAGTCACCCTTATTTGCACTTGTGTGGCATTTATGTTGTGTTGCATTCAAGCATATGATAATAAATGTTTTATAGAAATATGGAATGTTAAATGTTATGCTAATGTGAATATTTTGATGTGTTTCTTACTATGCTTTAAAAAATATATATTTTATATATTTTGTATATATGTTTTGAATTAATATGTGTATAAGCTTATTATAATTTAATTGTATTATGGAAATAGGTAAAACTGCTTGGCCACTCATTGGGTGGTGCTATATCATTTCTCTACGCAGCATCATACCCAGATGAAGTCGATGTTCTCATAAGTTTGGATATTGCTAGCCCAAGTGTAAGGGACATTACAAAAACAGCTGCAATGACTGGGGACTATATTGACAGATTTCTGAAATATGAATTGTTAACATTGGATAATGCACCATGCTATGATTACAACGACATGCTTGACATAGTAGAAAAGGCGTATGAGGGTTCTGTAACAAGGGAAGGAGCAGAAATATTAATGAAACGTGGCATACAACCAGCATATTCAAAGGACAAATATTTCTTTTCACGTGATCCAAAACTAAAGGTAAAGACATGTTTTTATCATCATACAATATATTCTGTAACAAATATGTTGAAATCTTTATATGATTTCTAATATATATATATATATATATATATATATATATATATATATATATATTTAATATTATTTATATTTTTTTCCAGGTTTCCATTTTGGGCATGTTCTCTTTAGATTTAGTACTTGAATATGCATCCAGGATAAAATGCGCTTATCTCAACATTCGTGCTGTTCCTGGGATGAAATTCGAGCAACCTGAAAATTATCAGAAAGTACTAGACAACATAAAACTGGGGGCTAGAAAATTTGAGTATCATGAAGTGAAAGGTACTCATCACGTGCATCTATGTGAACCTGAAAATATTGCGCCTATAATTATAAATTTTCTACAAAATTAATAATAATATTATTTAATTATTGATGAATATGGTTACTTAAGATCAAAGGAATAATTTTATTATAGTCATTATCAAACTCTCAAATTTAAAATGCTGATACGAATTCATATTTGTTTAATGCATGTCTACTTACTTACACCATATGTATAGTAAATTGTTAAATTAGAAATGACTTTACAATATGTATTTAATAATATTGATAAGAAATACAGAGATTTACATATAAATGCGATACAAAAGACATCGAAATGTGTTTAGTATCTTAAATCACTTTCTTCAAGGCAGGTACTTTTGTTTGTTAATTAGCGTCGCTTTTACATTGTAATTAATAAATAAATGATTATGTAAATATTTATGTAGTTCATTTCATTAAAAAGATGAATTTCGTCTTTTAAGACTTTGATCAATGTGTCATAGTAAAATTATGCTAATGGATTTGATTGCAATTAGCTTTACATTTTTGTGTATTAATTGTTCATATATATATGTGTACACAGCACACAATATTTGTATTATTTTTATTTATTGCTTATGCACTATATATGAATTCGTAAATAGAAAAGTGAAAGGGAAAGTTTTTTTTATAGTAATATATTAATAATAGCTATTAAAAAAGATGTTATTCAAAAAACTAATTTCTTTAATATTAATTATATGTATATAAATTATGATTTTATACTTTTATAATTTGCAACACGCTCTCGAGACAATTTAGTAGACAATTAAAACTGCAATCGAAATTAATATATACCAAGAAAATGGTTCTTTTTCTTTGAATTTATAAATTCTTCCTTGGCACATATATATAATAGAGATAAACATTAATTTGAATTATTTTTCACTTTTTAGAAAGAAAATATAAGTATAAAAATTGAAAAATTTGAATTTCTATCTGAATTTCTATAATATAAATTCATTAAAAAAAACCATCAAGTAAAAATAAGATAAATAAATGTAAGAAAAAACAATCATAAAATTAGTTTAAAACAAATATAGAAAAACCTAATCATTAATCTGGAGAACGGTTTTATGTACAAACTATTCATTTTTTAACGTCGTTGAAAGATTAATGCAGCAAAAATATTGTAAATAATTTTGTTAAACCATTGAATTATTTTTAATGTGTGCACATAGAAATGAGTAAGAGTTTAATTATTTCAAAATGAATTACAATAAGTTTTATCTATTAGATCATTTTTAATATTAAGACACACGTGTATTCATCTTTTGTTCTTATATTCTTTTTCTATATGTAATAAAAAGTTTGTATTTCATTAATAAGTTTTTTACTATAAATAAAAATTAATATAGATAAATATCTTATTTAGTTTTACATGTATAAAGAATATACAAGAAAGAAAACTTCAATGATACACGCGTTTATCATTTATTGTTAGTGAACGACAGCGATAGCGATAACGCATTGATGTCCAACAGTTATAGACAAATGCAACAAACTTGCAATACTATGCTAGTTGAAGCTTATGCAACCGGACAAACGATAAATATAGTGAAACGCGATATTCTCTATCAATCCCATAAAATAAACTTCTTCGGTAATTTAAAGGCGTGAAAATCTACAATGTTCCAGATAGATAAATTTAATATGTCATAAAATATGAGAGCTGCAAAATATATTTTCGCGATTTTTGCATTATGCAAAATTGATAGAAAATTTGCACAAAAATTTTAAAAACTTAATCTGTACATATCTATATTCTTGAAAAATGTCTCGCGGGGTCTCTGACTAAACTATATAAAAGATGGCATCCCTCAAAGATAATGAGGCTGTTGATACAGATGTCTGCAAGTCAGACTAAAAAGTCACAATGTTATTTCGTTTATTCAGCTGCTATGCCACGTAGAAATACCGTAAAAAATATTATACCTCGTCTCATTTCATGTGCACTTCTCATCAGTCCTAAATTTTTCGCTGCGCATAGAACATTTTCGTACATACATATTGTTCGCACAAATTTCTAATATTCTTCTTTAATATTTTACGAATGGTAAGAAGGTAAGTAAAGCGCAAGGACGTCCGGCTTTGATAATTTGCATAAAATGCGCATTATTACACACAGTTCGAAAAGCTGCACGAATACGAGGTCGAACAATAAAGCAGCAAAATTGCGAATCTAATCTGCCAACAAATTTAATGTGATCAAAGGAGTCACGCCGACAAAATAAATCGTCTACGAAGGTCAAGACTAGATTCACGTTTGCATAATACATATATGTAAAAGACAGAAAGATGTTGTAAAAAAATAAATACAACTTCCCAGGCAAATTATTGGCCTGGCCAGCTTCTTATCGGGTGGCTACTGAATACGTGGCCGTCCTATCGTGTGTGTGCACGTTGTGCGCGCCGGTAATTATCGGCAATGATAGCGCGCGGTCACACATAGAAAATAAATATGAATATAGTATACCTGGAGACAGGTGGACACTGTTCGTCACTTGCTTACGCATCTCCTTTACGCATAATTCCTCGAGAAGCTCTTTCGCGTGGTGTCAAAATGAAACAGATCCGTCAATCCGCCAAGGTATTATCACGGTAAGGTTCCGGGTCCACACGTCACACGGTTCCTTAAAAAGTAACGCATTTGTCTATGTAAACGTGTCTCTCGAAAGACCTTTGAACTGGTAGATTATAGTGCAAATTAGCTAGATTTCAGTTTGTATTTCGTTGAAAAGCGAGAAATCAAGTATGTAAGCACGTTCGTCTAAAATCGAATACGTCGTTGACATTATTACAATATTAGTGACGTATTTTGTACTGCGTGTGTAGTAATTATTCGCGAACAATAATTGACATTCGCACAAGATGCGGACACGTTCTTATATCTTTATTTACCGCATTTTTACTTTATATATTAAAGTAGCAGCTGTTGTTCGCGGTAACTCGAATCGAAAGACTAGAAGTGTACAAAAGTACAGACTGAAATCTTTGCAAGATTAATATTAATTACTGTTTTCGGATCAGTCCTTTTGCTTTATTTGAAGCATCTGTTCTCGCAGCCGCTGCAAACGGATAGACATGCGATGATCAATCTGATTCATCGATCCTAACGATCAACAAACTTTTAATTTGCAAGTTTGTTCGTTCGGCTCGAGTTATCAGATTGAATCCAAGATCACCGAGCATCGAATTCGTCAAAATTTCGTACTTTGCGTATTTCTACGAAGATGATTCCGATAGGTCGATGAAATCTGCTGCAATTCCGCATCCGTAGGCGTATAAGATGCGTAAGTTCTCAGACGTGCTCTAGATATCTCCAAATCCTATAAAAAAAATACATGATTTTTCAACTTTAAAATTGTATCTAAAAAATATATATAATTTTAATATACATATGTCGCACACACACAAACATATGTATCTATACATCAAGCTAAGTGAGCTTCATAATAATAGCATTAAAATTAAAAAAAATGTGTTTTAACATTCAGTGATAGCCCAAAAATTGTAATAAACTAATAGTTGGAGAGTAACAGTTTATTAATCTAGTAAAATTATTAATATATTACAAATAACTTGACAATTGTATTCGATAAAATCATTTTTTATAAAATTAAAATTAAAAAAAATACTGCTACAAATAATTTTCTCAAAGAATTTCCTCTCTTTCTTCCCCGTATCTTTCCATAAAATATATACTATATAACAAACCTTTAAAAGAGTTTGATTACGAATGCGAGATTTTTCCAAATTGATAAGATTTGTGGACGACGAACTAGAAACTCTGGAAACCTCCTTATTACGAATTTCGCGATGCAATTTATTACTGCAAAATAAAATAAAAAGTTACTTGTGAAAAAGTATATATGCATACGTTGTCTATAATTTATTAGCAAATATTAGATTTCAATGAATGAATATAAATATATACCGTTCTTCTACTTCTTGTTCAAATTGTTGTTCTCTTTGCAGGTACTCATCAAAAACACTTTTAATGTCAATATTGCCATTCCTTGCCATTTCATTGAATTCTTTGGCTCGCTATACGCGAGTAAAATTATCGATAACCACTAATAACACTAATATTTTTATGATTATAAAATTAGTAGAAATAAAAAACAGAAAGGAGCTATTTCATACGTTTGTATATTGGATGTACGATGCACGATGTATAGCAGAATATGGTTACTACGGCAACGTAACGTGCTCCTAAAAACGATCGATATCTACGCATATATTAATTATGGTGCGTATAGTTATATAATCGCTACTATTTAACAGTATTTAAACAAAATGTATATGTTAAAAATTTACACTTGTAATCTTAGAATATTTAAAATTAAAAATAAAAGTTTAAATAATTTAAATAAGTTTAATTCAACAAGTTATATTTATAACTCTAATAATATAATATACACATCTTATTTGTCCATGTAAAATGCCTAATTATATAATGCAGTTTGATTGAAAAATTGATATATGTTTTTTTCTAATAAAAAAGAAAAGATTCCAATATTGAATTCATTCATTCTCCTAATGACTGCGATTTCGGCTGAAAGAATATTATATGTGTATATATATATATATATATATATATATATATATATATATTAATATAATACTATAATTCTTTATATTGTTACTTACCAGTATATATATATGACTTGGCAACGAACGTTCAACCACCTCTGATAATCGTCCTTTACCTAGTTTGTGTTCTTCGTCTGTCGTATAAAATAAATGCAAATATATTAAATTCTTAAAATACAATACAAAAGTTTAAATTGTCTGATATATAATAGATATCATTATACCTGCAGGTACAGTTAGCGACAATGTTGGAAGAGCTACAAAACCAGCAACAAGTGGTCGTAAAACCCAATCCACTTTTCTCACATTTTTCGGCGATATATAAATATTAATCTAAAGAGAGATATATAATATAGAATTATTATGTATAATAACATCAACTATAATATAAATGGGAACAGCATACCTGTTTTTGTCCAGCAAACATAAAGGCATCGCTGCCTTCCATAGCCAAGCGCAAAGTGATGAGATAATCAGAATGATTTTTTATAAAATACGAAATACAAAACGGCGTGCGAACCCATCCGTGTGCTGGCATTTTGGCTTCTAATCCGATCACCGCATCCTCGACCCATAAAGGAGCTAGAGTTACACTGCTACTAGTTTCCAGCGCGGTTTCGTCGTCCGCTCTGCAAAAATAATAGAATTTACAAATATATCTTTATATCATAATGAAATTCTTATACCAATTACTTTTACCTTTTCCATTTGATAGTATATATTCCAATACTAATAGGTTGTTCACCACCTGTCTTTGGAATCAAGCAATAGGTATCAGTTCCAGTTTCACCATCGCAGAGTTTGACATCTGCTAAAATGGACTTCTGATCATCGAGATTGTTCTCTGTTTGAATAGAGTCCGCCTAATTTCGAGAGAAAAATTCAACATGACATTCAATTTTCCAAATATAATTTGAAAACAAATAATTAAATTATATACATATACTTTGTAGACCTACCAATTCTATAGATGTGCTTAGAATTTTTATAGCCCATGGGGAAACACACGTAATATGGGGCATAATAATAAAGGGTTCATTAATAAATCCTTTTGTTAGTGGTTCAAATAACGTTGTGTAAAATTGTGTCGCAACTTCAAATGGCTTCTTAACTGCCAACGAATACATTAATTCTTTACTCCCCTTAATTTGTTCAGGTCTACAGTAGTCTGCCTGTGTGTCACATAATTAATAAATAATAATAACACATTATATTATGTCACACACATATATACATATACATATAATTAATATATCCCACCAAACACCAAGTAACAGAATTTCCCACTTAACAATGTAAATGCAATATAACATACGTGATTTATAAAAAAATATAACATCCATACCTTTATTATAATATTTCTATCGCCTACTTTATGTGCTCTAATGTATACAATATGTTTGATTAATGAATCTTTTGTCATATCACTAATGGAAATTGATATTTTTGACTCCTTATTAAGCATGTTTATGCTTAATTCAGCTAAAATATATAATTTAAAATAGCTTAGTTTATAGAAAAGAATAATAATCAAGTTTCAAAAACATAAAGCGTTTATAAAAAAAATAAATTATTATAAGATTATGAAAACATACTTGATTGCTCATTAGTACCCTCTGATACAAGTATTACATGTAAACAGATTGCGTTAACATTCTCATTAGCTGATAGGGATATCGTGATGGGTAGCCACTCGCCTAAAAGCGCAGGATTATTCGATTCTGCGTTCAGATTTAAACTTGATTCTTCCTGCTTGATTTCTGCATGAATTAATGGTCTTATTGCCTCAAATTCTCCTCCACTAAAATGCAACAATTATGATCAGTTATTATCAAATAGCATTAAAAAAAGATGTTAGGAATTGTTCTTTATAAACATACCGAAATTGTTGTATCTCGGGATACAGACGATCCAATAGACTCGTTTCTCTACCCATAGCTGAGAATCTCAATATAATACAACAGCGCGCACTATCACCCATTTGCAATGAAACTGTGCTAATACGAATTTCCGCGCCATCATTTTGATGAGGTGCTTTAAAATTGAAGTAAAACTTTTTTGTTTCTTTTGCTTGAAAAATAAGATTGCATTGTTGAACATCACTAATTGGAATTTCAGTGTTGTAACCTGGACCACTAATTGTTATCGATATATTAGAAAATTCAATGATACCACCATAAGAATTTCTGTAATTAAAAACAAATTTTTTTACATCTGATAATTTTTCAAAAAATATATTTCTACATATGGACAAAATCAAATGTTATATTACCTTATTATAACTTCGACTGTTATCATTGTATTCACTGCATACATTTGTTGCAAGAATCGTGCTTTAACATCAACAAATGATGTCATATTGTTGTCGTCAATCGTAAAAATGTTTGGTTCTGGGCGACTTAATTCTGATATCCATTTTTCCATTGCAAGATGTTTAATATCATCCGGCAAATCTGGTTCTGGATGTGGTGGTTTTTTCTGTCATCAAATATGAAGTTATGTTTCGTATATAAATGTTACACATTAAAACAAATTAATTTATAACCTGTAGTATATTCATAACATTATTATAAATAACAGCTTGCTGGTCCTTTGAAAATGTAGTTGAGGGTCCTAGAGCTTCGAGAACCAGAGTGAGGTAATCTTGAATACTGGTCGATAGATATGCGGCTCGCAGTGCATTCTTCAAGATATCTGTGAGTAAGACCGGCCATCGTTCTCCGTGATATTCCCACAACATGTGCATCAATAATCTGACCAATCAAATTTTACGATTTTCATGTTAACGCAGAAAAAAAATAGTCTAGAGGAAACAATGTCAGGATCAGAATAACTTTAGTCAAGATCAGAATAGTCCTTTAATGATTAAATTAATGACTAAATTAAAACTTTTATCATATGAAAACGAATTTATTTTAACTTACGTAAGAACTTTGCCATAATCCCGAGCATTGAAGTATTCCTCTGCCATTTGCACGACTAGAAAATGAGTACTTTATAAGTATATTACAAATAACAATTGTTCTCTCTAAACTTTCATAAACTTATTATTATACCTAATAATCGGCGCATTCTGGGACAACGATACACCTTAAATTGCGATATTGCGTTTCCTAATAAGCCAATAATTATCATCTAAAAAAATGACAATTATCGTTATTTATCATATGCTTATGAACTAAAAACGCTAATGTATTTATCTTACAGAATGATTAACTGTAGTTTTCTCTCTGTATTGTAAAGCCTGTATACCAGTAACTTCTTTGGCTGTATCTGCAGGTTCTGCACTTAGTTTCCCTGGCCGCCAAGGTCGCTGCCCATAAAACTCAAGTTTCTCTTCACCTAATAATGGATCAGGATCTGGATAGTTATTTACATCCTGAAACAATTTGAAGTATCAACAATATTAAAATTTAAATAATATAAATAGAAATTCCAACATATTTGTTAAAATATTTTTCATACTTGACAGAGTTCTTTACATGCAGACTGTCGTAAACTTGCATGATTGGCAGCTAGTTGGAAATAATATCCCGGATGTTGCGTTTGAACAGCAGGTAACCCTTGGCGAATAGCTTCATCAAACAATTCCGCAAATGTAGAGAACTGACTACTCATCCATGCATGATGTTCAAACATAAGCTCCTTTGGACCAGTTTTTAGCTTAAATCTGATAATAAATATTGATTAATCATACTGAGAATTCCCTCAAAGCAATAAATAAATATTAATACCTTTCTGTATGAAGTCTAAACTGAGAAATAGCATCTTTCGGAAGATTTAAGCTAAACATTATTCTGCATAACTTGTAATTTATAAAACCAGCGATGGTTTTTATTTCTACCGCATTTGCATCTGTCATTCTTGTTTCTAATAAATTATGATAAGCTTGCATATAATGCCTGCAAAACATAAATGTATATACATATCTTACAATATATCTTATAATATATATATATATATATATATATATATATATAAACCCTTGTTATTATTTTTTAATCTTACTTTTGAGCAAGATGCAATTCCTGCTTTAGTTCATTCAAGAATGCCATTTTAAATTGATGACGAACAAATAAATATTGATGAACATTTTTAGTAAGTTGATCACGATGACTTTTAACATTTCGATATTCGTGATAATAAAAGTTTTGTGCCAAATCATAGAATGCTGTCTCTAACCTATAATATAAATAAAAAAAGAAATATATATTGTAAAATGTACTGTTTTCTTTAAAAAAGAATAGAATAAAAGAACTATTAAAAACCTAGATATATATCCCAATAAATGATCGGCATGTGGTAGAATATATAAAAACTTTGCAGTTAAATCACAAGCTCCACACAATGCTGTTGCACGTTCAGTTGCAACCACATCCTCAGCACCAGGAAGTGGTTGAAGAGCATGTTGGATCAATACTACAGCTATTTTTGTACTTCTTCCATCAAGGGCAGCTCTAAGAGAAATATTATAATCATTCAAAAAATTTAATACTATATTAATAATACAAAAATTAAGTTGATTATATACTACATCTTAAATAAATAAAATATATAAATAATTACCTTAAAGATTGTACTCTAGAGGCACATTCCATCTTTTTTTCATTCCACAAAGGATCATTCCAATCCAAATCATAGAATACAACAACTACAGAAGGAATATCATTGAGATACTTGTTCATCCAATTTCTTTTTAAAATCCCTTTAGGTATATACCATTCATATGAACTACGCTAAAATATAAAAAATAGTACATATGTAAATGTAAAAATAAAATAATGTTAAAAGATTATTTCAGTAATCTGGTATCAAACATATCATACCTTAGGTTTAACAGTGGGAAATTCATGTGACAAACTGAGCAGTTTAAACTGCACAGCTGCACAATCTGGTCTACGATTATTGCTGAATGCATCCCAAATAGAGCGGTGCACTTGATTTGTAATGTCTAATCCAGTCAAACCTATCAGAGCTAAAGGCTTAGCTGTCAATTCCGTTGGCAGTTCAAACATTATGAAGCCTTTAGTAGAAAGATAAATAACAATCAAATAACTCACAAGTTTAATTTCTCATTTAAAGCTTGTCAAAGCATCGTATTATACGATGTAAGATACTATTTTTTAATGTTATATCTTCAAAGCTTTTTTTGATATTTTGACACATTATCTTTATTTTAATATATTGTTATCGTTTATGATTTATGTAAATAATACCTAAATGTCTACTTACGAATAAACTACATGGAATGTCACTAAAGAATAAATTGCATTATTACGATTAATCAAAGTTTGTCAATATATATCATTCGCTTCACTTTGACAGTTAGATAATAAATTATCATCAACGAGAGGAATCGAACAGCTGGGTAAAGTTAGGTTAGTCTGGATACAGGAAGTTGGCGCAGTCGCATTGAAATATAGAAGGGTTAAGTTCAATTTTTGAATTTATTCGATAATCGATAATTTTATCGATGATCGAAATTTTCGACACATCACACATTTGAAATACAGTTAAAATTAATTGTTCATTACATTAATTGAAGATTATCGTCACACATAGTTCCCATTACGGATGTATTATAAATGTATATAATACGATTTGTGTAAGTACAAACATATAATAGTCCTTTTTGATCCTAACACGCAAAATTATACATATACATATAATTATGCAATAACGCGATTCTCTAACATAAAAGTAGCAGCGTCTGAAGACGCTTGCAAGTCTTCTTCCTCCATTTTAGTTCCTTCTTTAGTTGGAGACTCGGGAGAATTTAATTTTGTGTGTTCTGGTGTTAATCGAACGGTAGTGCCGTGTCGGCTGTAATCTTCGATCTCACCTATCGGTTGATCAATATCTTGCCTCGTATTTTCATTACATTTTCCCTGTTATAAATTAATAAATTAAATTAAAAAATTAAATTATATTCTTCGTTATATATCAGGAAGAATTTAATAAATGTAAAATTTAATTAATTTAATTATTTAAAAATTAATGAATTAAATTAAATTAATTAAATTAATAATAATAAAATGCAAGAAAAAAATCAATAATCCATCAATTTTACCAATATTTCTTCAGTCATGCAAAAAAATTATAATTTAATGTAATTTACATTTATTTAACATAAACATTTTGATTGCTTATTCAAAATGTATAAAATTTGTTGATTTTTAATATGATTTTAAAAAAGTATACGAGCTTACTTGTAGAAATCGCAGTAATTCTCTTCGAAATTCTGTACTGCAAATGAGATATATAAGAATATAAACAGCATAATTGCTGAGTTCGACGATTGCTGAGCACACTCGATAAGTTTGATAATCAAGATCGAGCGGATGACGATTAGTATGTAATATCGGTGTGAGACCTGACGGAATTGTCGTGACAAAGAAGCACAAAATCATTGTAGTCGTCAGTATCGCCAAATGTTGTTCCTCTCTAAAAAAGAAAACAATTTTATGTACATACATGGGATTAGAGAAAAATATATTAATATACATATATTAGAGGAAAAATTTTTATTTTTTTTATTTTATGTGTTAAAAAATGTTATATGTTAAAAATTTAAAATACAAAGAAAGAACTTTTAATTATTACGTACTTATATCCTCGATTGCGAGACAATAACGACGTATCAGGCGCGTTATTAGCGCGCAACTTGTCCGTGGCAGCGTGGAATTGCCGATTTTGCCTATTTAATTGCACAAACCTCTTAATCACCAAACTATTCAGTATGATAAATAGGATCGAGGGACAAATTCGCACTATAATTTGCATTATCCAAATATACATTGTCCATAGCTTGTTCTGCGTGATGAGCACGTTTTCGCGTAAAGTGAAAGTGATACCAGATCCATCCTGCTCTGTATGAAGAATTCTCATAACTGATAACGGACCACTTACCTATTAATAAAATGTATATATTTAATATGTAATTGTATTTTTATTATACATATATAAAACTCTTTAGTTTAATCTCGCTTTTTTATACCAGGAAACCGGCGATAAACGAAGACACTATGAAGGAGTTGACATTTTTACGCGTGCTTCCGGTGCGAATGCGTGCCGGAAAAAATACAAAAATGTATCGATCCACGATTAAACAGACCATGATGAAAACACTGGCAGCCGAAAAGGCGTTCAGAACAACGAGCTCAATATGAGCATAATAAAAAGCTGGCAAATAATTATTATTCATACCATAGCCCAATCTTATAGCTGAAATATAAAATGTATCATAACACGCTGCTTTCATTTACATTGAGAGAAAAATTATTTTTACTCAAACGAACATCTTAATACGTAATTGTAGACATTGTCGATTATAATTGATCGTAATCAAGTATAATAATCTTAATTAATTATTTTGTAATATATCGGTCGTCGGTACTTAATATTGATGCAACTAATTTGACATTTATTTGGACTGCCGATTGTTGTTCGTTCAAGCAGTATCTTTCTCAATATACGTTGCAAAATTAAACTGTACAAACTGATTGTTATCCAAGATAATGCAACACCGATGTGAGCCAGAGCAAGTCCGCTGAGATATAAGTATGCAATTCCGCGAAACACCGGGGAAGACAGCACGATAAGGATTGCCATATTACCGAAAATACCAATGGTCAATATAATTGGAACTATAATACCATAAGAAGTCCATATTAAAGACATTGCACGGCTTCGTATAACGTCGTCCTCGACCACATGTCCGATAGTAAAGTTGTCGTCCTCGCAACATAACTGCGTACTGAAAAGACAAATGATTACCTCATTAGTATTTTTATACAAAAGAGAAAAGCGATATTTAATATTATTATCATTGAAAATAGACAATCATATATAGTCGTTAAACTGTATAATAAATTGTTTAATTGTTTTACTTTATGATACATTGCTTTTATACATTTAATTAGCTCTATTACCAATTAATTAATTAAAATAATGCATAATGCGCAACAACATGTACACACACATACACACACGTAATATGCTATACACTAATAAAAGAACGAATTAATCAGTTGAATTAAGAAGTGAATTTTTTAATAACGTCATCGTTATACAGACCCGTTAATCACTCCTGTTAACATTGTAAATTTTAATGATTATTAATTATACGAATTAATATCGTCGTTAAAGACAGCCTTGTACTATCGATCAAGTAATTTAAAAGTTATTTTTTCTTCGATGTTTCACGTTCTTATCACATACACATTATCGCCTGTTTCTCTCTCCTTAGCCAACGGCAAATCTACTTTCAATAAAGACATGATAGATTCTAACAGACTTACCTGCGACATATTCACCTCATGGATCTTCAGAAAAATAGACACTGCGCAAACTCCGTCGAGGTGTGTATGAGATTTATTTAAACACGCAGTAGACGATAGACTTAAACCCTTTATTAAATCAGGTCGAACTGCTTGAACAAATAATAGGGATCTATTATTAATTATTATCACGGGTAAATACTTTCCATAGAGATACTCTATGCATTATGTAATAAGAAAATTAAAATAAAGTTAATCAAAAGATTGTGTATTATGGTATTAAAGTGAATACACGTACATAATATTTCTGAATAATAAAATATATATGTTATGCCAGTTTTTTTAATTTCGTGGTAATTAAAATAGTTGTCATTATTTTTTAAATAATTTTACTATTATTTTTCCATACTTTTTTATTTAAAAAATGTTATGAATTTATAACTACTCTGATTATATTTTCTTCAATTAATTAATAATATTATAAATGTATATTTATATGTATAAATTAAAGAGAATAATTTGTTGTATGATAACAAAAATAGAAGGAAAAGGAAAGTTTCGAGTATATATCTGCTTTCTTCATTTTTTAAAAAGGCGACGTAGATTTTATATATATACTATATGTGACATTATATATATATATATATATATATGTGTGTGTGTGTATGTGTGTGTGTGTTGTGTATATAAGTATGTGTGAAATGTCGCATACTAACATTTAAAGGTGGGGACACGATATAAATTCGAAAAAAAGCTAATCTATTTCAGTTTGGAAGCTTTCTATTTTATTATCGTGCGCGTGAAGAATCACAAAACGATGAAGTACCTTTGGATAATTCGATCTCTATGGTAATTAATTTAATTTTTAAATTGATTTACACATTACTCGAAAATATTAGTCATTATTTTTTTTTATTCTTATTTAGGATATTGTTCATGATTATTTCTATCGCTACAATGACCGAAAATATAACACGGAATCCTAATTGTCCTTGCCGATCAATCGACGAATGTTTAAATGAAATTCGAAGCAATTCTAAAAATTCTAAACTTGTTTCATTTTTCTCACCTTGTGAATCTTCACAAGATGAGATTATGATTAGATGCTGCACTTTCCATACGTCTATAAATAAGTTTTTCTTATGTGTTTCGCAAAATAACACTTCGAGGGAGCAAATAAAGTGTATATTGCATGAAAAGTTAAGGATGATACATCTAATTAATTTTCTCGGACAAATGAAATATTCTTCGTCGATGATGGAAGAACTAACATCTGAAATTTTATCACCTTCCACAAATTCTATGCACTTAGAATACACTGGACCAAGAATAAGCGGTGCAAGGGGTTTAAAGAGTACAGAGTCTAATAATTCCAAGAAAATCATACAAGATATGATAGCTGTTATAAAGACTAATCAGGTCCAATCGCTTGTTGCTATTTATCCCAATGATTTTGAGACAGATGTAACAAAGATAAATTTAACAGACAAAAAGATGATCCCGCCATCGCCTATCGAAAACAATTTCTTTGTGAAAACCGATGCACATTCTTCGTTCCCTATAGAAAATACGAAATATGTACCGTCTTTTTTAAGCGGCAACATCGACAGCAATAATCCATATGCTCCAAAACAAGAAATATATATCGAAAATGTCGACGAGACAAAGGCCCGTTATGAAAAGAAATCGATGGTATCGTCATCAATGTCGAAGGATGTCCCCACGACGCCTGCGGTTAATTCCTTCGAGCAGAAAACATCGTCAGAGACATTTCTCTCGCTCGATCGCATTTCCACTCAGCCGATCAATAAAAACACACCGACAAACAAGTCCGAAGCACAGAGGAACAACAGCAATATCAACGTATTTATCACCGCAAAAAGGAGCCCGCCGTTTTCGGTAAACGCGCAAAAAAATCAGCGATTGACGGTGGGCGAAATAAATTCGGGGAATAAGTTGCACGAAGAAGAAACGAATTGGAATCATCGTGAGTTTCCGTTCGTCGAAAATACAAAGGAGATGACTTTGCCAAGAATAAGGGACGATCCTCTTCAAGCATCGACGCGTAATAAACGAATGACTGCGCCTATCATATCGCAAAAAGATATCCTGAACAAAAACACTGAGGAAGCGGAGTATAAAAATAATACCACTCGAAAGAAAAACACGAAGCCGTCGTTTCAAAATAATCAATCTGAGGTGAGAATCAAAGAGGAGAGAAAAGGATCTACAAGTGAGAATGCAACAAAGAATTTTGCAGTGATTTATGCAGCTCTTCCGATGCAAAGATTCAGATTCCCGCCTAAATTTTTGCCAGCAAGACTTAATAAGCCACGTACAGAAGAACGTAATTCTACGATAAGAATTGAAAAATTTCAGAATCTCGATCGATTCTCCTCGAGTCATTTTCAACATTTTTACAAAGCGAAAGAGGATCTTTTATTAAAAATTAATAATATAACGAAGTTTGAAAAGATAAAATCATCGACACATTTCGAACTTCTCTCAAATGCCTCTCAGGCGTATTTATCCAGAAATAAAAATACAAAAGCTTTAAAAAATTCCGAGGCAATAAGAGATGCGATAAATATTATTAAAATGTCTAATGTCAGCGCACTTAATGATTCTATAAATATCGACAAAAATGATTCGTACGAGTATTCAGCATCGAATTTGCAAAACGCATTTCTTACATCAAACAAAATTGCATCTCATCTAAATACGTCTTTACAAGAAATTGAAAAGTCATCAATGCAAATGGAAACAATGACATTTAACGATGATACATCTTCGACACCTAAAAACAATTCGAAAATGTCATCGGAAACAATCGTGCAAAATATCACAGATAATTTAAAGCAGTTATCCAAAATAAATGAAGGTATTATATATATTGTACACATATTAACATATATTATTTAACATTACTTAACAAAAAATAAATTATTAATATATATATATATATAAATAAATTATTAATATGTATGTATATATATATATATATTTAATCATTTTTTTCAGATAATGCTCAGAAATATTTTAGTACTAAATCGTCAATTGATAACCAATTAAATCAAAATAAAACCAAATCTGCGCATCTTTCTGAATTATCGATTTCATCTGTAAATGCAGATGAACAAATGTCGGATGCAAGCACAGATTAATATTGCGGATATTTAGACATTATGAGACGATAAAATAATTAATTGAAAATTAATTACTAAAAATAAATCAATCGAATTCGATTAATTATTACATATATTAACATATTATTTATATAACATTACTGAACGAAAAACAAATTATTAATATATTCAATCATTTTTTCAGATAATGATCAGAAATATTTAGTACTAAATCGCTAATTGATAACCAATTAAATAAAAAAATTTAAAAAAATAAAAAAAACAAGCTGTGCATCCTTCTGAATCATCGAGTTCGCATCTGTAAATGCAGAGATGAACAAATGTCAGACACAAGCACAGATTGATATTGCGGATAATTTAGAGACATTACGAGACTATAATATAATTCATTAAAAATTAATTACTAAAAGTAAATCAATCAAATTTGATAATTATTACAATATAGATAAGAATGCGAGATAACGTGTGTACCTAACCGTGCATTTAAGTTAATATAAATAAATAATTAAATATAACAATTTTATTAAAACTTCAAAGTATATATATACTTATAAAAAAGAGAATATATTAGATATTAAAACTTACCATTAAAAAATCTTCTTTCTAAGAACGTTGAATAAAGATGAAATGTAAAATTGCACAACTTTTTCAAATTGATCGTACTGCGACAGTCAAATCAGCTGTTCAACCTTTTAGTAAAGTAATGTCCTGTAGAGGCGCCACGATACACTGTATGTATTTGGAAAAATTGGTTAGATGTGGTACACTGGAAAAAAGTAAAGAAATGTTACATTCCTACATTTATAATTTTCAAACAGAATATATATTATTTAATAAATATTTATATATTCTCCTGTATTATCTCAACAAGAAATGATTACCAGCAATTTGTAAGTTATAAATTTATAAATTTAAATATTTTGTATGCATACGTTTCTTTTATTAATAAGATTAGATAAATTATATTTACATATTATAAAAACTTTTGTATTTGTATTTTGATATAGCTTCTAAACTGCTGATTTAAATTATAAAAAGAAAAACATTAAAGATATCAAAAAAATTATATACGTACACATTTTCATAAATTAAGAATATAATTAGGATTATACATTTTTTTTATTCCAGAACTGATACCTGGAGAGAAGCATTCGGCATAAAATAATATACAAAAGTGTTGCTGATAAAATGAACCATTACTTGCTTGAATGCTGTTTTCTTCGCTTTTACTTACAAAGGTGTCATCGTGTTATATCAAGAATTAAATTAGTATATGTTCTCTATTTTTTTGGTATTATAGCATTGTTAGAATCTTTTGGGGCATTTGTGCATCTATTTGAAGTAACATATGATGAAAACTTTGTATATCCATACGAAGGCAACATACATGAGTTTGTAAATGCATTACGACGTAATGAAAAACCTGAAGTTGAGCCTATAAATGAATACAAATACTCTTTTGTGTTAAAACAGCCACAAAAGTGTAAACAAGATGCAGATCATGCACTTCGTGTTGTATATGTAATAAAGTCTGCTATAGAGAACTTTGATAGAAGAACTGCTATACGTAATTCATGGGGAATAGAGAAAAGATTCTTTGATGTGCCAGCAAAAACTATTTTCGTAGTAGGTATGCATCCAAATGACGAAGAAATAGAAGCTAAATTAAAATTAGAAGCAACAATCCATAAAGATATTATACAAGCAGATTTCATAGATTCATACTATAATAATACTATAAAAACAATGATGAGTTTTAAATGGTTAGTAAAATATTGTCCCAATTCAAAATTCTACATGTTTGTCGATGATGATATGTATGTGTCAGTAAAAAATGTAGCAACATTTATCAGGAACCCAACTAATTATCCATTTTACTTAATAGAATCTAGAAGAGTATATAATGCACACAAAAAAAGAGAAATCAAACAATCAGATCTAATGGATTATAAGACTGCAAATATATTTAGTAATGAAAATGCAACAATTAATTTAGAAAGCAGTGAAATACCTTTTAAAAATTTTACCATTTATGAATCGATAAATAATAATAGTCAGAAAAATAATGTATATAAGAAACAAGATGAACGAATTAATGAAAATCTTAGAACAGAAAATAGACAATTGTTTGAGGTAAATTTATCTGTACTGAATAGAACAAAACGACAAATTTTCGATTTTGAACTGCCAGACGACATTAGGCTATTTGCAGGATTTGTATTTACACGATCTGCACCACATCGACATAAATTCTCTAAATGGTATGTTACATTGGAAGAATACCCATACCATTTATGGCCACCATATGTTACAGCTGGTGCATATATTCTCTCTAGGGAAGCTCTTTTAGACTTGTATTATACTAGTTTTTACACTAAACATTTTAGATTTGACGATATCTTTTTAGGTTTAGTAGCTAAGAAAGCTGGTATATTACCATTTCATTGTGAAGAGTTTCACTTTTATAAGAAAGCTTATACAAAATATAGTTACAAATATGTCATAACATCTCATGGATATGGAGATCCAAATGAACTTCTACAAGTATGGAATGAACAGAAAGCTCTTGGAAATGCTTAAAAGAATTTATAGATATCAAAACAAAAATTATATAATATGTTATATATATTATGTTGTCTCTAAAAATAAGTTTTTTTTGTAAAAATATCTTTATATAATTATATATATGAAAGCACCCACTGGAATATATAAAAATATTTGAACGATTATATGAAAATACTCGATTTATTGTAAAAGTTATTCTAATTTTCTCATTTTCTAGAATAAATTTTACGCTATATAATCAGTCTTCATGTACATAGAGTATCATATATACCATACATATACACACACACATATATATAATATATACATATATATATATATATATATATATATATATATATATATTATACATATAGGTATATATATGTAATAAAAAATTAAAATTATATTATTTAATTATACAATGTATAATATTTACATTATACAATATTATCAAAATGTAGTACCTGTAATCATAATTATGATAAATTATCAAAATTATGTATGTTGCATACAAATTTTGTTCACAACTGGAATTGATGTATGATTATAAATTTTATTCAATCGTAGATTAATTAGTATAATTCTTATAAAATTGCTAAATATATGTATCTGCATTTATACAGTTAAAATTTCACATAAGCTAAAAGTTATTTTTTTATAAGTTTGTATGTCTACACAATTTTGTACTTTTTAGTAATTGTACTCTTGTGATGATTGATAATTTAATAAATACATTTCCTGGATATATATGGTTTCTTGTAAGATTTTTTAAGTCATTAACATTTTTTATTAATACTGTTGTTTCTCAATTTTAGCTTTAACTAAAGTCTGATCCAGACTTACAGCTTCTTTTTTGATCATATTAAGTAATAATTGTGAACTCTCCAAAATCTGTGATAAAGCAAAAATATATAACTTTAAAAAATACATAACTGTAAAAAAGAGAACAATATATTTATCAATTGCAAAAATTAAAAATGCAACTTTTACCTTCATATATGCTGTCTCAGTGTCAGCAATTGTTCTGTCATATTCATTTCTGACAGTGATTCTTTTAGCCAGACTATCATTCAAATGAGTAAGTTTGCAGGACAGTTTTTCAATTTCATGTTGCAAATTATTTTTCTCTTCTTCTTGAGATTCTATTTGAGCTTGGAGCTCTGCTCGCCTTAGTTTCATCTCTTCTAAACCTAAAAAAAAATTATAGATATTATGAACTTAATTGAATAGATTATTGAAAAACATGAAATACATTCTATTTTAAAAATTAATTTATTTCATTGAGAAAATTAATTTGCTCCATTAAAAAAACTAAATCATAATAAAATAAAATAATCTAAGATTTTCCACATTTTGACTAATAATAATAATTTCTAAACTAAATGAATTACATTTAACAAGTTCTTGGTTATATGTTTGCAGAGCGGCTCCGTGTTGAGACATTATAAAACATCACCATTCGCAGAAAATTTTATAAAAAGCGTGTAAAATGATAAAAAAAAACTGTCAAAAAGTGGACAATGTTTACCGATAATGACTTGTTAAATATTTAGGCGAAACACATAGATTTTGACAGAACGTAGATTTTGTATGTGTATACGAATGTAAAAAAAAATACAAACAAAAACAGACGTCAGTAATTTACACTTTTTACACTTTGTACACGTTTTACACACAAATTCTTCGCAAGAGATCGCAATAAATTCACTAGATATCCACCAATCAGATGTCTCCGTTTCTATCTCTAGAATTCGTAAATTGCGCCAATTTTCATTCAAATTATCTTTCATTATTAAAGAGCTCACTTCAGTAAATTTATCTTGAATAAATTTTTTGATATTCAAAAAGCTTATTTTTTAATAACTTCAATATTTTAGGATTTAAAACGGAAAATTTTTTTTCGAACGTTGTATGCGCGAATTGAAACGATATTACAATAAGGTTTAATTAAAACACTTAATCAAATTGATTAAAATGAAATAATATGTAATGCGCCATCAACTTGGTTCTTAGCTGAATAGTTTGGACATGAACCATATCACGGAATCAAACCATTTACCGTACTTTTTACCGAGCGTCACAACGTAGTTTACGTCCACTTTGTCTGGGGGTGCGTTAGTACACGCGGCTGCTGAATCCCGGTGGCCGCTCTCAGGTTTTTCTCTGATGCACGAGATGAAATCGAGTGCTGATTGTGAGATGATTTCATTCGCGACAACTGGTTGGTAGATCGTCGTAAATATGTGGTGTCAAACTAACCATGCTGAGACGTATTAATCGGTGTAAGAATTAGGACATAATCGAAAAATGGTCTCGATCATCAAAAATCAGTTGCTAAAACATTTGTCGAGGTATTGCTCCAGTTTAATTACAAATCAATTAATCTACAGTGCGACTTCACGATTTTTAAGTGACACTACAAATTAACTCTCACAAGTCGTTCCATAAGTCACACGTCACAAAAGCGTTTTCTTATCTTCGAGACACATTCGTCTTATCATTATTCGCATTACATTTTTTTTCTATGTGTTATGCTTAAATAATATTGAATACATTCGCAAAATAGCTGAGAGAAATCGGGGAGAAAGTGCACTTTCTTTTTCTAATTTTTATTTAAAGCACTCCTGTCATATGCCACTGACAGATTTATTCTTTGCTTTTACTTGTCAGTGAACATCTTTTCTTTTGTATTAGTCAGAACAACGCACATAAGCGTTATATAATATATTCTGTATAAAAAAATTATATATTTTTATGATAATTAATATATATACATAATTCAAATGATATGTTAATTGACATATGTTAAATGACATATGTTAATTTACAGCTTGCTTTATTGCATTTTTTTTCATTTAATAACAAGATTATATTTTGCATGTAGCCTTTATTTTATACATATTATAGGTTCACCAAGAATTTGTCCGCTGATAAGATAAATTTGAGCACTTTCAAGGGTGAAGGAGAACTGACAAACTTAGAACTCGATGAAATAGTCCTCACAGATTTATTAGAGCTGCCCTCATGGTTAAGATTAACTAATGCTTGGTGCAATAAAGTTTCATTTCGCATTCAATGGACCAAACTAAAAAGTGTTCCTATCTTTTTGGTAAACAATAGTTTTATATGCATATAAAAACATATGCAATTTTTGTATATTATCTTTACTGTTTATCATATTGCAAGTAATGCAAATAAAGTATTATATTTATAGAGTTTGGATGAGGTTCATATAGATGTAGAAACATGCGAGGATTTAAGAAGCATGTCTTCCCCGCAAGGTATCTCATCGTATGCAGGTCCTACCAAATATTCTTTTATACATAAAGTAATTGATGGAATAACAGTAGCTGTTAATACTGTATTGGTTACATTCAAAAGTCCTGCATTTATTGCTTCAGTTCAGGTACGACATTACAATATACTGCATAGCAAAATATTCAATTAATATGTAAGTGTATAAATTAATAAATTAAACAGATAGATTTTGACATTAAGATTGACATTTATTTAAAACTATTATTTAGATGAATCGGATTATGGTAGAATCAAAATCAGCAACATGGCAACGTTGTGATCTCAGAACCACTAGAGTGAAAGATCCTGATCGAGGGCAGTTACTTATCTTTAAAGAGTTAGAATGGCAAACTGTTAGAATAGAAGCACAAAGTACTAAGGATAAAAATTTGACACCACTTCGTTTATTGACAAATCAAGCAAGATGTCGAATAACAATAAAAAGAGGATATCAGGTTTGTTAAAGTTACACAAATACTCATTTTGATAAATATAAATAATTGCTAAACTAAATTAACCTTTTATTATAGATTGTTTTGTTATGGGCTCCAGATTAGTAATTATTCTAGATGATCTTTTGTGGGTATTAACAGATTCACAATTGAAAGCTGCACTCCATTTTCTTGATTCTTTGGGTGGTCTTATTGAAAAAGCTACCATTCTTGAACGAAAAACAAAAGCTGCAAGAAAATTAGAGGTTTGTATTTTTTTTACACTTTTATTTAAATTTTAATATATAAATCAATAATTTATTAATTGGTGTCTTTCTTAATTTAAGGTTTTACCAGAATATCAAGCTCAAATATCTCAACAAAGCAGAACAAAGAATCAATGCAACTCAGCAATATCAAAAATATTTACAAGATACGATGTTGTGGAAACATCTTACCATTTTCTTTCACAGCGTATTGATCTCCACTTATGTGATGATGCTGGTGGTAAGTTTAAAAGGGATTTATACTTATTTTTATGTGTTTGCTTATCTATTAAACGTATTATTTAAGTATTTATTATACATATAAGATAATTTTTGCATTATATAATATTTATTTTTTACTTAAATAGGAGGTCGATCATTACATCCTGAGTTAAAGGATGGTGGTGCATTACAAATTTCATTAGTTAAGTTTCAAGTTGATTATTATCCGTACCATTTGGCGATGGCAGATAGAAAGCATTGGGCCAAATACAAAGAGAATGCCACACCTCATAGTCAGTGGTTGCAACAATCATTAAGTTCGTTTCGAAGTCAGTTCATGGATCTCATAGATTCTGGTAGAACACAACATTCTCCTCTAACAAGAAGCCAAGGGAATGTAACAGGTTTGGAAATACGAGTAAATTTTCAATATTTAATATCAAACGTAATTTATATTATCACACAATTTTATTTTTCAATAGCTAGTGGTATGAAAGGCTCTGGGGAACATTTGGAGAAGAATAATCAAACGCAAAATCCAAATACAACACCATCCGAACAGAAGAAGTCTCAGCATCCTAGTGGTAATCCAGTGAAAAATTATGTCTTGGAGCAACTTGCTAAACTAATGACGACGTGCATTATTATCAGGATCGATGATTTTACTTTATACAAAGTGACAACAACGTCGCGCAATCCACTACCGAAAGAATTTATCACAGGTATATTTATTCATATTTATTAATATCTATTCGAATGATCAGAATCGCTCTTTTCTTTTTATTAAAAATAGTGATGTTCCAAACATCAAGTTTGTCAATAATCGTTTTAATTATGATAATTATGTACAGCTCAATCGAGGAAGAAGCATACACCAGGTATAGCAGATTAGTAGTTTGTGTAGATGTAACGAAATTTCTAGCTAAACGCGATCTATTTTGATAGATTTATGTCTTGTTCAATTTTTATCCTTTTATTAGCACGTGTATTTTATGTTAAATGATTTACAAATAATTTATAACTTGTTATGTAATAATATTAATGATATTAATGAGATTAATACAGAATAATGCAAAAAAATATTGATGTTACATATCAATATTATATTTAATAATTAGATGTTATTGATTAGATTCTTCTTATTACAGAAATTTATGTGATAAGTTTTTTATAAATAATGTTGAATGCTGTTTTAATCCTTTGACTGCATTATATTATAATAAAAAAATGTGCATGAGACCAAGAATCATTAAATTGAAATTTGATTCAAATTGTGATTATTCAGCTGCATATTTAAATTAAATGTGTTTATTTAGGTGATCGTGACAGATTCAGTCTTCCAGAAGATGTAACGATAGTTCATGCTGAGTTTACTTATTATTATTACCCAGGGGATATTACTTTTCCATGTAAGCAAATATTTTTTGCAAAAATATATTTTCAATATATTTTTATTTTTTAATACTTTATTATAAAATAATTATATTTTTTTTTATTTTAGTGCCACCACCCAAGTTTTATGTGCAGCTTAATCCCATTCAAATAAACTTTGACGTCTGTTCGTGCCTTTGGTTTAATTCTTTTGCATTGAATCTTCATCATTCTCTTATGGGAAAAAACAAGCAGCTGAGTTCTTCGCGTTTAATATATTTTGATGTAAAAATAGAGGCTATACTTCCAAGAGTAAGTTGAAATATATAAAGTAGTATATTCGAAATTTATATTGAAAGATTATATTGTATTCTTACTTTAATAATATTTATAAATCTGTACTTTTAGATAGTTTTCGAAAGTCAGCAGGAGTATCCAAATCAAAAGGACAGACCGAAGTCTTTGCATCTTCAAACTTCTAGGGCATCTATAACAAATGTTCGATCTACGGAAAGATCTTCAAGGGCGGACTTGGCGCAGTGCCTGAATGCGTTTCAAATGGGGCAGATGTTCTTTGGCGCAGAATTTCCCAGTAAATCAGGAGACTTTCACGTAGTGACGGATAAATTTTTGGCACATTGCGGAGGTATATGGCGTTCAAAATATCGATAATAAATATTTAGAGAACTTTCTTATTAATTTCTTTTGTTTCGTATTTCAGCGACTGATAATATTAGGCAAATACCGCCCAATTTTAGTAGCAATTCTGTGAATGAATTACTGCGTCAGCTGAGTAGAGAACTGTTGTGGACCGAGGCCAAGGATGTATGGTGTTGTAACTTTGAGCCTGTATGGGGAGACTTCTTTGGCGCCCGGGCTGTCGGTCAAAATCGACCCGTACCGTTTCTAGATGCGTTTCCTTTGACATTGTGGTGTCACTTTACCCCGGGTACCGCGCCGTCGATGACGGAAAAAGGCTCGGGTGCCGATATCCATGGATTGGCGTATATAAGCAATCTGGTTAGCGTACAGATAAATCATTATCAATACTTATTCTTACTCAGATTGTCGGAGATACTTTCGGAGATGGCTACGTACTTGGCCGTAGATTCAAATAAGATCTTGAAAATCGAGAGCGGTGGATCGTTGATCGTAGGCGCGTTGATACCTCAAGTGGAAGTGACGTTCGTGATGCCTTCACATACACCTGGCAAAGAAAACTCCGGCGGCGATTTGGAGTCCGTTATGCCTGATTCGTCCAGCATAGCGGACGATTTCATCGGTTCATCCGCGGCCTGGCATCCTAGTACGGTGAGCGCGCGCGTCGATTTCAGCGCCAAGAGAATGAACACGAGCAACGACGTGGAGACGCCTCAAAGCGAGGCGTCCTCGATGTTATCGATGGATTATTCGCATTCCGTTCCGACGTCGCAACCGGTCGTCACTTTCAAGCAAAACGGCACGAAGAAGGGCGATCAGGAGGGTCCAGCTAATCCTGCCATGTGGTGCATTCCCGAGAGTGGCGGATCGCAATATACGGCTGTTGGTACGAGCGACGAGAAGAAACATACACCTGAAACGCATAACAAGCACAGCAAGTCGGATTCGATCTCGAATACCCCTTTCATTCCGAACAACTTTAACGTCAATCTCTCATCTATGAAGAAGGGACTCAGCAACTTGATGACGTCGATTGACTCGGCTTTAAAGGCTTCCCCGGAGGATGGTAGCAGCGACACGATGTCCATGAGAAGTGACGTCAGCTCGGATAGTGAGAATTACGTTCTGGTAAACCTTCAGGATCAAGGAAAGATCGACGCGGTATTTGGCATTGATAGCACGATTAGAATTACGGCGGTGGAAGAAGCAACTGAAGTAGTGGAAGAAACACCGGACACACAAAGTGAAAAATCTATGGATAGTGTATGCAAAAGAAAGGATATAGTAAGTATATCATATAAACGATCGCGAGTACAAATCCATTTCATGATTATTATTAAAGATGATAGAAATTAAATCTTTTTTCTTCTTATTCATAGGTTTCCATGGTAACATTTAAATTATCAAAAGTCGAATTTATACAACAATCTTGCGGTTATTCGTCTGTCATTAAAATTCAAGTTTCTAACATTGACAACGATGAGTGTTCATCTATTCCTTGGGATGAGTTTCAGGTAAGGCAGATTTATGTTAATCGCTATATTATAAAATATGAATATATATATATATATATATATATATATATATATATATATATATATATATTATATATACGCGTTACGCTGTTATATAATTACGCTCTTTTTAATCAAACAAAGTTTATTATTAATTGTATTGCTGCAAAAGAAGTTTATTCTCTTCTTTCTTTTACTATAGAATTTTTGTTATTTTTACACGATATTATTCTGCCGAATATTACAATCCCAGAAAGTAAAATTTATTCGACAGTTTTTATATGTGAATTTTAAAACATATATTTCAAATTAAATGTATGTACATATTCACACATTAAATCTTATATTTGGAACAATTTGATAGTACTTGAAAATTTTCAACAGTAATATAATGACTTTCTTTCACATAACTATGTTATTGCAATTATGGAAATGATGCATTGAAATTATATGTAACTTTATAATTATATAAATCATAGTATATATAAACCTTTCCATTTCCATAGAGTATACATTCGAAATAGCGACTTGTGCATAAGAGTTACTAATACTCGAGTAGTTTTGCAGTAATTTGCTCATTGTTTTTTTACATTACAACCAGTTGATATTATTATTATAAATGTATATTTATACGATTTTTGTGATTTCTCTTAACTTTTTTGCATGCCTCTCCCGCGTCTCTCCTTCTCTTGTGAATGTTTTTATGTGGCACTTGTGGCAGGTCAAGAGAAAGGTATTGGCAAAACCATTCATACATTTATTAATCTTAAATACTTAAAAAATGCATGCGTCGATATTGAGCCACATTACATACACATTGTTGTTATTGTTACACTGTTGATAGATTTCTTAGAATTAACGCAAAACTTTAATATTCCAAAACTTTAACTTTATTGCGATAATAAATTAAAACATTAATTATTACACATATGTATTTGCCATATATTATTATTAATAGATGCAAATATATCATTAATAGACGCAAATTTTCTATTCAAAAAAGGTCAATCAGACAAATGTATATTTAAATAATAATTGATATGTTTAAATGTATGATTGTATGATAATCATATGATAATCTTTCTTTTGCAACACTGCTTTATTAGAATGGCATAACTGCATCAAAAATTTTTACTTTTTATTTTTTTACATCGATTTAACAAAGCAATTTTAAGATTAATTTGTCATAAAATAATTATTTTTTATTAAATTATTATTTATTATTAAAGAGAGCTCACTAACAATACATGCATTTTTATTGAATTCTTTTAATTTCCATATATAACATGATTGACATTCAATTTTGATTAATTATTAATTAGATGTAGTGACAATATATGGCATGTCATATTGATCTTTGACTTTTAGAAACTAGAATGAGATTGTATTACAATATATTTACAATAAGCAAATGGTAAATAATCATATTCGTAGATACACGCATCATTTCATTTGCTTCATATATTATTATAAATGGGGCTATATTAAAATAATGTTTCACATATTAGACATTATTGCAGCATTGCTTTTGTGCATCTATGCTTTTGCATTTGAATGACATTTTTGCTAATATGCTAAATCTTAATTAATAGAGTGTGCTTTAGCATATGCAATTTTTTATTATCATACTTCATAATGTATTTATTCTATAACTAAACTTTAATAATTACATCTTTAATTATTAAATACGTTATTAAAATTGCTAAACTAAAATTCTTTCTTTTGTGATCTACAATTTTTATAATAAATATTCCTAAAAATATTCATATCGCAATTAGTGTACAAATCATATTTTAGTCTAATTTCACAATACAGTATTATAAGTTGTAAGAGTAATGATGTTAAGATCAATATATAGAGATATAGAGGTATTTTAATTAGTAACTGTACATTACATAAATTCAAGATCCATCTAAATTTAATATTATTTATGCCATTCTGTTTGATAGACCAAGTTCAGCTCGCGATCTCGAGGCTGGGTGGAATTACCGTCCGATTCAGACTGCAGATCGCGCATTAAATTACGTTTGGATCATAGCTTGAAAGATGCGGATGACTCTCATAGACTTTGGAATGCCAGTCAGAGAATTACCGACAATAGTGATAAGCCAGCGTCTCAGAATCGCGTTAGATTACTTGAACAGGACACATCTCATACATCCGGCATCGATGTGCATAATAAAGAGGGTGTTATGAATCTATTCGAAGACAAATTAGAAATGAAAGTGGCTAACGTAGCGATGGCATTGTCTATGAGCTCGGTGACGGGTCTAACGGATTTGGCAGAGGATGAAATCATACCTAAACCAATCCCTATGCAGGTATATATCATTCACCATATTGTTGTCTGTTTCTTCATTTATTCAAAATATATAAATTTGATTTATTCGTGCGTATATTATTTCAGATATACTTGGAAAATATATCGTTACGTTTGAATGAAGATCGTCCACCGAATAACATAACTTCCCCGGGCCCGATTCCAATAGATTTGAACATTTCCAAACTTAGGATAGCGCGGGACATGAGCGGTGTATTTCACATTGAACCAGTTGGTAAGCAACGCTATCCTTTAAGTCAGCTGTATTTATTTGTTTCTGCCACTTGCAAAGTTAACTTTTTTTTTAAGTTGACTTTTTTCTTTTTCGATATTCATGCAATCTTAATCTTACGTTGTTATCGTTTCTATGCGCCTGTAAATACGTCCTACCTGTAATTTGGTATTATATGTAGATTTTTTACATTACGCAAGTGGCAGACTTATGTTTGAAAGTAATTAATATTACATATTGCATAACTGTTCTGTGCACTCAGGCGGCCTTTCGAATGTGAGCATTGATAAAACACATGTAGAGAAAATGAGTAGCTTTAGTTTCTCCCTGCTTATTATTGCACAGCTTTAAAGGATATCATTATTTATATATATTATATTATTACATACATAATCTATATACTACAGGTTCTTTATAAACTTTTTCTTTTTACAAAAAGTTAGATTTTTAGACTTAAAAAAACGTTGCAAAGATTCGGCGTTTTACAAAAAGACTATATTTTATGGAAAACCTGAAGTATATACATATAGATAGAATATTTTAGATATGCATATAAGCATGCATCAGTTTTATTATTTATTTATACAAAGATAACATTTATTAGCTTAGTAACATTAATTATTTACTTAATCTATTATTTATTAAATTGTATAAAGAGGTCTGAAAATTTGAGAGTTAATAATTTTTTATATAAATTTTCTCAAGCAGTTTATTTTGGCAAACTGCAAGTTTATTAACTTATCAAATTGCATTTTGACTGTCTCGTATATATTACAAAAATATTAACATTATTCTTTAATTATAAAGAATTAGGACAATATTACATTCTTTTTTATTACAACTTTATATAACAATATTTATCATAATTATATTATATATACATACTTTTGAAAGTATTTATTGTCAAGAAGTATTTATATCTTATTACATATAAGAGAGAGTATTTATATCTTAGTTAATACATACACTATTTATAATGTGTTTAAATTTGTTTTACGTAATGCATCAAACTATTTTTGAATTTTAGTTTAGGTTTACTTTTATTATAAAAATTATATATATATATATATATACTTTGACATTGATGTGACATATATATTTTAGTATGCTCATCTCTTTCTGATTATTACATCTACTAAAAGAAGCTAAAGGCTGTCTCTGTATTTGTATGTTCCTGTTTAAGATAATACTTTCATCCAGTGGGTCAAATAATAATTTTCTTGTGATTTTAGTAACTACACTAGAGGAGAATCGTTCCAATGTGATGTTATCGAGTGATAACAGTCACGCATTTAAGAATGTAGAATGTGAGAAGGAATTGAATATTCTAAGACAATCTAGTAAACAACTGAAATTGGATAACGAGGAATTGAGACGTCGTATGGGAGCTCTGGAAAAATTATCAGAAGAAAATGCAAGATTAATGCGCGCGAAAGAGGAATCGGAAATAATGAGATCTCGTTTGAGCGTTGCCGAAGATAATATCGTAAGTCTTCTGGAAGAGAAGAGAATCTTACACGAAACTATTTTAGAGCTGCGTAATCAAAGATTGGAAGGTTCTGGAGGTAGTAATAGAGCTTCGTGGTCTATTAAGAGATAGCATACCAGTTGTTTTGATTGCTCCAAATGTTGCAGTTCTACAAGTCTTAATTTTTTTCTTTTTGTGGAAGATATTTCTTTTGATGAACTTAGGATATCTCATGTGAAACAAAAGACTTTATATTTCTTTATAAATGAAAAGATTATATTTATGAAAGTTTAACTTATATATAAATTAACAGGAATTAGAGTGATTTTAATTTTTCTGAAAACAAAAACGCTATAAGGTCTATAACTATTCTCAAAGATACATTATTCTTGTCTGCCGTAATACGCTAGTAACTGCCGTAGCTGTTTTGCTTAAAATTTAAAACACAGTGATAAGAATCGTATAGATGCGCATGTGATGCATATATATGGAAAATTTAAATTTTCTTATTATGATTGTAATGAGGCGATAATAAAAACTGTAATATTACGTTTTTGTTTCACTGCTAAATTAGTAATTCATAGTTCAATAATTTTCGTTAAATCGCCTGATGTCACAATTTATGAATGGCACGGCTGCAAATTGCATATGTGAAAAAACTGCATATATATTATATTATGCACATAAATTTTATTATATTTATGTGTACTTATATGTAATATACATATCCTTTTGAATCAAAGTAAAGTAATGATTTTAATTGATTTTAATGATATTAATAAAGGAATCTGCTAGGTGTCTCTTTAGTTTTTAATATAATAATTAAGATCGAAATTTGTGTAATATACTTACTGCACAATATATACATTTGCTATATTTGTGTTAGAATTTTGAAAGGATATGTAGTACATATAGTGAGAAAGCAAAGTGCGCTAGTCAGTATATCACAATTATATATATATTGGTTAATTTTGTGATTGGTTATATTTTGACATCATTTTTATGGATATAAATGGGAATTGCAAGAATGTATTGTGAAACATAATGATTTAAAACAGATGATTGTAATTTAGTAATATATAATAGTTGAGCCTATGGATAGATTTTAAAGAATTGTGACCTGGTGGTATTGCATTATATCATATACATAATTTTGTATTGACTGATTTAACAATTTTCATCAAATGCGATGAAAATTACAAGTAATAATGATAAAGGTAATGTACGAAGCGTTCCAATAAGACTGTGTAAAATTCGGAAATGTTGGTCTATAGTCTATAATAGTCCTCATGGCATTAGAGCCCTCGAGGTAATTTATATAAACATTAGAAATGGCGAATTGACTTGATAAATTTTTAATGAGAAAGAATTGTGAAATACGACGAATGCAAAACATATTTAACATAGCCTCAGTTCCAATTAATAGTTCCTTAGAATTGATTTTAATAGATTTAGTTTCTACAATGGATTGCTGGTCGATCCTACATAAATGGAAAGTATTTTTTTGATGAATACAAAGATTAGATACTGAAGTTTGTTTTATATAATGTAGACTTCTGCGCTCTTACTACAAACATCTGATGTATTATAGATATGCATTTCCATTATTTAGATGCGGCTTCGAACAATGTGTTTCCTTGACAAATATTTTCTAATAAATACAAATACAAATCTAATACAAATAGTATAATCATAGTAAGATAATTTGTGTTTACATGATAATATTATTTAACTCAAATAAGATACAATCATCTAATAAATATTTGACTAGTAAGCACAATGTTTGAAGATAGCATAACATATGTAAGCTTCAGAAAAAGATAAAAGGTGAAAGTTGCTGTTTTTGTTACTTTCAAATATAGATAAGCTTTTTATATAATGCACATATCATACTTATAATGAAGGGTTTGCTTATACAACACGTTATATAGTCCGATAATATTTTGCAAGGACATCATTTTTATTTCGATTTAATTGTATCAACAATCAACTTTTTATTTTTCAAGTCTGATTTAAATCAACTTCCTAAGGTTTGCTTATAGTTCCTTTGGCGAGCTAATATTTGTACCACATGCTTTTATATATTAGAGAAATTATCCCCTTTAATTTTTAAATTCAATTTTTTATTTTAAGTCTATATATCTCTAATATAATGGAAGTTATGTCATATATTATATTTTTATATACATTATAATACTTACGTATATTTTAAATATAAGTAAGGGATTGTGTTTTTCTCTTCCATTTTCTTACATATTCATATAAAGGCTTTAATGATAAATACCAAATATATATAATATATATAGCCAATAATGAGAAGATTTGCATATGTAATTTGTTATTCATTAACAGCAAATATGCTATGTATAACTACACAAACGAAATTGATTGGTATGAACTAGACTTCTTCCTTTTTTTAATATATTTTTTAGTACTTATTACATGTTATATTTATGTATTTACTATCTCAGTAATACAGACTTTAGGAAGTTGAATATATATATATATATATGAATATAAACTAATAATATGCAATGTGGAAATGAAATAATATCACAATTCAATAGAATGTGTTACAATTGTAATTATTTAGATATTATAAGATATATATTTAAGTTTTACACGCTTGTTATTCCGGTAAAAATAATATTCTTATATTAACTGTTTTTAAATTTTTTGTTAACGCGCGTTTTAACTTTAATTATGTAAGTATAATATTTTCGATTAATATATTTTCGAGTTTAGCGTTGTCAACAGACAAGACTTTTTGAAAAATGTTTAGTTTCATAACATATATAACTTTTTAATAGTTAGTAAGTAAAGTAACTTTTTAATAGTAGTAAGATTCTAGTTAGTAAGATTTCAAAAAATTGTTGCATATATAAATATATATATATATTATATATATAAAAAGAGAACAATATCATGCCACTTATGCATGAGTGCAATGGTCCCATTTCGTAAATTCATATCGTATGTCAGTAGCCGTGTGATACATTGTCTGAAATAATACGATGCAGCCATAATTTACGAAATGAACCTATTTTATATATTAGCAGAGGTATAATAAATCTATTTGAAAAAATTGTCTTTTCAATATCAAAGTGCTAAGAATGCCAAGAGTGGGTTGTGCAATTTTCAAACTTCTTCACAGAGTATAAAGAGAAATCGATATGTATGTCGTGTTTGCTATTTCTTCATAGCTTTTGTTGTGAAGTATATAAGTACGATTATTAAATAATTTATGTATAAATAATATAAGTAATTTTGGGAATATATATATATATTCCTTATACGAATATACGTTATTTTGTTTAATATTGTGTTCTATATCTACAAATTATTATAGCTTTTTTTTTTAAAATACATTAATTATAATGTATTTTCTATTATAAATATATTGTTTCAACAAATGTATTTTAGCAATATTAAAACGAAATGCTATTATAATAAGCATTGACACATTGCAATGTGAACAAATGAGTTATATAATACGAAACTTGGCAATATATACGTGTATATCCATTTTCGAGTTTATCATTATACATAGAGGGGGAGAGATAAAGAAAGAGAGATACTATGTTATCATTAATTCATTAATTCTACAAGTATATGAGCAAAAATTAATCATTATATTTTATAGTTTTGTTTGTGTGGAATTGAAAGTGATGGCCAAAGTGTAATTTCATCTTTTTAATGTATAAAGAAAAACGAATATCACTTTCTCAATAAAGTTATAAAGAATTTAAGAGATAATGGAATGAATTTCGGTGCAATGCTAAAAAGTAAAACGTTCCTCTAAATCTCTTCCTCTAATCCTATTAATATTGTACTTTATATATTAATTCGTTACGTTTAATTAGATGTACTTATTTAATTATATTTACACACATGTATAATTGCATATATTTTTATAATTATTTTATATTTATTTATATATTATAATTAATTTATATTTATATTAAATAAGAAATATATATATATATATATATATATATATATATATATGTATATATATTTCTTATTTCCTTTTCTTAGAAATATTTAAATGTAGATATACAATTTACACACATGTATAATCGTATATATTTTTATAATTAATTTATATTTATATTAAATAAGAAAGATATATATATATATATATTTTTCTTATTTTCTTTTCTTAGAAATATTTAAATGTAGATATACAAAAAGCTCAAAAGTCACTTTACCATTTAAAAATGTAATAAATAATTTTTTGTTTCTTAATTATTAATTTAAAATGCTTTTTAGGAAAAGCAGTGTGTCTGTCATCGCTTTTGAATAAGCCGCCACACCAGGCTGGGCAACGTTGACATTTGACATTAGTGCAGCAGACTGCAGCTGCAGGCCATTCGACATTCCAAACGTCCGAATCATCAGAGCGACCAATAGGAACGCTTTCTCGTCCATCCTGAATGATCGGGAACATTCCAAACGTCATTCAGAGTGCATCGTGCAACGTGCAAAAGTGACAGTTGGCAGCAGTGTCCACGAACGGAGTCGTGCAAGCACACGTTGAGGGGTATCGGCACTCACTGACGGTCGAGATCGACTGAGAGAGCGAGTCTGTGTTGTTTGAGTGGATTTCGTGTGTGCACACAAGAGGTTGTGAGGGAAAAAAAGGTGTCACCGTGGAACTCGCGGCGTCGAGGTACGTATTTGTATGTACACAGAATATCGACGATCGTATTATTATATACACGAGGCCTGGCGAAAACGCGTGGGGAGGACGAAAAAAAACTGAGTCGGGTCGCGCGATGACGATTCTCAAATATTGTTGTTGCCTCTTCGTCGTCGTTCCCGGAACGCGGCCTCTTTCCTCAGTTTAGTCAGCTCAGCTGCCTCGCGTACTTGTATGTACCTGGCCTTTCGTGTCCGATAATTGATCGTATACGAATTCCAAATCGCGCAATCATGTTCCGCACAAAATGGTAAACCTGCTTTCTTTCCCACATTTGGACCTCGATGTCTGTAAATTCGTCGATCGTTTTCGAAACTCGACGATGACGTTTTCTTCGCATAATTGACGCTATTTAGAAAGAATTAATCTCTGTTTTTCAGCAAGGAGCACGATCACTCGTCCTTTTACAAGTTCTTACAAATGGAGCACAACCATAAGAATCTGGATTGTTATTTTTTTACTATTCAACGTGCAAAAAGGTGAGCGAATCCTAAGCAAGTATAAGTTTCCCCCGAGCTGAAAAGCTCGCATTCCCCGCCTCCCGTTTAACGTTTATCTCGAGGGAGAAAAAAAATTCAATGTTACAGTCGTTCCATATTGCTCTGTCGAGCTCGCCGAGGTTAGGTCGCGGCCATTTTGATGCCATGTTGATAAGATTTTTTCTCAATACACTAAAAGTTCAAACATGTAATTTTTCAAATACCAGCATTGAAATTTGACTAAATTCATGTTGATTTCTCCATTTATTTCATTACTTATACGTAATACAGAGATATTTTATTCCGATTTTCTATTAAAATTTCGTTTATTGCATAAATATTTTGTCAGTCATGTGTGATTTTATAAACATAATAAAATTGTGTATGTACAGTTATTTTATCTGATTTTATTATTATATCTTAATGTTTATATGTATTTTCTTTTTGCTTTGATTTATATAATGATTGAATCATAATTTAAAATCTTATAGAATTCATACGTTTCTAAGTCATAAATAAATGATAAGTAATAGATGAATGATTAGATATTTTTCAATATCTTAAATATTGATGATGTAATTTGATAAACTATTGATTAGTCTCACTTGCAGTATTGATAACATGATTTGGCACTGCAAGTGTACATAATTATTCTTGTTAGTTACAACATTTTAGTTGAATTATTATTGATTAATTTTTACATTTAATCATTTTTTATTCTTACAGGGCGACTTTTGCCCATATAGACATGAACCATCTGCTCTAGGTTGTGAAACTACGTGCACATATTGGCAACAGGGAAATTGCCTTAATGAGCACTGTAATTTCAGACACATGGAATTAAAGGTAAATATTTTTACTAGATCAGCTTGTCACACTTGATCATGTGTTAAATAAACAATTCGGTTTGTAATAGTATATATTAATCTTAATAACGCAAACTTATATATTTATTGTTTCACATAATTTAATTCTATACATGTAATATAGTTTCACTGTCTCGTACAATGATAACACTTTTTATTTAACTCCACTGTTATGTGAAAATTTATAAATTCAAGTTATTTATCTTTCCTTTGTAAGTATCACAAAAACTGCTATGAACAATAAGTCTGGATATATTTTTTTAAATACTCATATATATAATTTGTATAATTATTATTACCTATATCTATCTGTCCTTAATTTAAAAATTAAATTTGTAGAGTTTAATGAATTAACATCTAAATAGCCTTATTTTTTAAAAAATAATTATTGAAATAAATAAAGAATGCTAGATTTAAAACAAAATAATTTGTACATATAGTGATATTTAGTCAAGATATTTTAAATAATAGAATTTTACAGATTATAAATAATTATATATATATATATTTTTTAGAAAAATCGCAAGTCAATTCCTTGTTATTGGGAAACACAACCTGGAGGATGTAGAAAGCCACATTGTCCATTTTTGCATGCGACTGCACGCAATCTTTCCAATGACCCTATCAATCCTGTGAAGACCACAGAAGTAGCAACAAAATCACCTAACCAAGAATGGCTCAACCGTCAAGGTAGATGTTTTTATATTATAAAATAAATTGTTTAGATAGCAATGAGTGAAACTTGTTTGTTTAATTGCAACTTTAACTTTAAAAATTTTGAAAAAAGATTTGTATAAATTGTTTTACACATTAATTAATTATTCGCGAGTTGTTTCTATTTTGATAAAGAAACAGTAAAAATAATATTTTAGATTTATTTATATCAATACTATTTTAATTTATTTCAATTTATTTGTTCAATATTATTAACAAATTAGAAATTAACATTGCTTACTTAGAATTAATCTTATAGAATCATTTATATTTTTATCTTATAAAAAATGATAAGAATATGTAGAATAAGATAATTAGAGTATATAATTAATATAGCATTTATAGTAAAAACTATTGTTGTATATGGGCAAATATTTTAACATATTTACGTGTTTTTTATACTATAAAGATGACCCCAAGTATGATGGCAGCAGTACTACCGAGTCGGACCAAGGTAGAGGAAACAGCGAGGCCGGTAGTTTTATTGGTAGTCCCGCCGTTGATCCTCTCATCGTTAAATTTGAAGAAGGTATGAGGCTTTACTAGCCCCCCCGTCCATCTTTCAACGTACATTATCTTACGTCAGCTACTCTCTCTCTACCGCCTAGCTTGCAAACAAATATGAATCTCCCGAACGCGCTCGGTATCCCGAAAAACTTGACAATCCCTAACAATCCTAACAGCCTCAACATCCCCGGTAGCATCAGCGTAACAAATAACTTAAATGTACCACCGCCGACCAATTCGCAATCTTCTCCCTGCCATCACACACTGTCCTATCCGCATCATCAACAAAATTTACACTCTCATTCTCACTCTCCTGGGCAGTCTCTGTCATCGTTGCAAAATCAACAGAGCTCCCCGCTCCTCCAGCAAACGCCATACACGTCGATTCATACGCAGCAAACCCCACAACCGCAGACCTCCCGATTTCCCTTTCCGTTTCTCGGTATAACGTCGTACAGGAGATTTTAAAATCGACGAAAACTGTGTTGTAGTGTTTACCACGACATATGTATGATTTTCCTCGTTCGTCAACCAAGTGGCTGAAAAATACTTTCGAAGAATTCACGAATATTTAAAACCTTTCAAAGATTAAATTGTTATATTGACTATATCTCTGATATTGTCAGTACAGTTGAGATGATTTGAATACATTTCGTACAAGCAATGCTAATGAATTGCTTCGAAAGTATTTTCTGCGTAAAGAATAATGTGTGTATATCTTTCTATATATATAGCAGCGAAAAATACATAACGAAAAAATCCTATGTCGATTTTAACATAATATTTAATTCACGACGTTAGGTCATACTACATACACAGAATACATTCCCGATATTCAACCTCCATCATTTTTAATTTGTTTCGTAAAATGGATCGATGTAATCAGATGCAACTAATGCAAAAATATTCATGCTACTATATCGTATTATTGTGAATTGCAGAGATACGATTTTGTTAAAGATTCTCTTTTACATTGGTTGCTCTTATTGCGGCGATCATGTTTTATGTTTTGTGGGACTTATCAAATACAAGCTTATTTATTTGTTAATTTGTATGTTGTCATGGGGAAGAGGTATATAACATACACTATATCTACATAGATCGAATACACATTTTTAAAGCAAATTGGCACTTATCGGTAATTATAATATGATCAATTGCCCAATCGTATTAATCGATCTTATTGATAAATCTAGCACTCGTGTTGTCACGAAAAATTTAGTAGTGAATATCGATTTTTACAGGGGCTGCTATATCTAAACTTTGCCTAAATTAGCCCTCTAATCGCCTATGGCTATCTTTCTCCGGCTGCGGTCCAATCGGGCACGAATTACCAGAATGGTCAATGTTAAGAAAAATGAGGTTCAAGTGTCTTCGTCAATGTCTTCAAATGCTGAAAGATCGCGAAAGCGAGAACCGTGCTAGACGAAGAAGAAGATAGCTATGGGTCGTCGCTTTATCATACATACACACACGCATACATATGCACACAGAGACATACACGTACATACAAATAAATTTTTTACATTAGAGATTTTGCTTTTAGTTGCGGAAAGCTGGAATTTCAATGTTAATCGGGTATTACTCTTGTAATACAACGAGTAAGCCCTGCTCGTTTAGGTTTGCGTCTCTGACGAGAGAGTTTGTTTTGCTAGCATCTAGAAAGTTTATTTTAAATATTGCTCCGCGCCCCCCTCCCCTCCCCCTTCTTCCGAATGAGTGAATTTGCATCTCTTGCGTGGCCGATTGAAGGAATATTATATATAAGTAGCATATATATACATATACACATATATGTATATATATATATATATATATAATATATATATATATATATATTCAGATTAGTCAACATGTACATCTCATTAAAAAAAGAAGGAAAAAAAAGAATCCTGCGTATTATCGGTCACGTTTTGGGCTGAAATAAGTGCAATGGCGGAGAGTAGGAAATATAATTGTTTATGTTCGAACCAATAAGCGCGCGAGCATGTACGCTTTCTTTGATGTCACGTACTTTATTATTATGCGTGATGTAGAAGGAGAAGGAAGATAAGGATAACGAGAGGAAGAAAATGAGAGAGAGAGAGAAAGAGAGAGAGAGAGAGATAAAGAGAGAAAGAGGGAGAGAGAGATGGAGAAAAAGAGAGTGAGAAAGAGAGGGAGAGAATGAATGAATGATTGACTAGAGAAATGGATAGAGAGGCGAAAGAAAGAGATTTATATTTAATAATATTCGCGCGCGAATCCGTGTTTAAAGATTTAGACAGATTCCAATCGCGTCCTAGCCTTGTGTTTTACGCGTGCACGAATAATAATGCCTTCATATGTTTTGGCTTCTCACGTGAATTTGAGAATTTCAGGACGGCGAATATGGGAATAACGTGATAATCGCGCTTCGCACGGAGCTTTGCGCCGGACGATAATTACGCAAATTTTCGCAGACCACGATAATTCCGATAATGTTGTGTCCTAACAACAAAGGAAATTGATAGAAAAAAAAAAAAAAAAAAATGAAGTATATAGATTTTAACACGTAAGTCAAGCGTGATCTTTTAACGCTCTAAAGAGAACGTCTAACAATTCGGCTTATTGTTAGAAGCTTGCTTTCTATACGTGATAATTAAAATATTAAACGCCGAGGACGTTTATCATAATATATCGAAGAAAAGAATACACGCGCGCGCGATTGCCAAGAGAATATTAACGTATTATACTGATTCACTTTTTACGAGTTTCCGAATGATAATAGGATATAATATAACCCTTAATTGAGGCGTTGAGAACGAAAATTGGAGGTAACACAATTAAAAAAAAAATTAGTTTAATATTGATAATATAGCGAAAAGTTTCACACAATTTAAACACTTAGCTTTTATTTTTTCAGCAACACACAAATGTAATCCTTTGTTTTCAGCGCCTCAATTCTTCTAATATATCGCACGTTTGATCTTGCGGGCTCGTTAGATCAGCAGAAAGATTTAAAAGAAGCTATTACTCATTAAATAATTTGTCAAATTATTAATCTTGCACCGATGGAAAATTTTATAATCAGGGAAAATGTATGTATATATATTGTATACTGATCTTTTACAATAGTATATAAATCGCATCACTGCTGAACGAAAAAAAGAATGGACAGAAAATAAAACGTAAGGGAACATGAAGAAGAAGAACGTAAATTATTTAGGAAGACTCTGCCGGTTTTCCCGGGTTTTCGATAGCGAACTTTTTTTTCGAATCAACGGTGCATATGATAACTTGATAGACTAAATGATATAGGAGGCAAAGCATCCTATCGTTGTAAAACATACACGCGGCGAAAAAAGAAAAGAAATTATAAAATTTTATGAGGAAATTATTGAAATAAAGTCGAGTTGGGTGAGCATGTAATAGAAAGAAAGAAAGAGAGAGAAAGAGAGTGTGTATGAATGAGACTGAAAGGAGAAAGAAAGACCTTAAATTAATAGATTGAATGCAAATACACATCACATATATATTTAACGCGTATTTTTGCGCGAAATACAGGATGCGAAATAGAAAACTAATAATTTTTCTTATACAGCGATATGTTTTACACGCATATATGTATATATATATATGTGTATATATATATATATATATATATATATATATATATATATTATATTATATTTAAATATATATTAGAGAATTATATATGTATTTTTTTTAGTATGATCGAGATTATTGTCGATATATAAAGGACTGTCGGCTTCTTTTTTTAATACTTGTGTATTCAACTCACGATTTTTCGCGCAAAATTAGCTCGTGTATTTCAATCGGCGAGAATTTTGTGCCGTATAGATAAGTCGTCAGTCTGTTTTGTGTTCGCATAAATGCCGTACAGAGTCGTGTTTTTTTTCTTACGAGGTATTTTTTAACAGGTAAATTAAAATAAACGCCAATTATAGGCGATTATCCGGATAGATTTGCGACGATACGTTTCTCCTTTAAAAAAGAACGGAGAACGACGGGTAGATCTTCCAAGAAAGGGGCGAGTTTGATCGAACCTGGATCTAGAAAATCTATGTACAAAAAAAAAGATAAAACGTACAGAATTATGAAATATGGTTGCGCGTGTGAGTTTGAAAGGCAAAAGAGTTTAGTAATGAGTATGAATATGAAAAAAAAATTGCGAGGATGGCTATCGAAAGAGAGGGAGAAAGGAAGAATGTGTGTCTGATAAATAGATGCGAGAGATATATAAGTATGAAAAAAATAAGGACCGCAGCGAGATGATGGGTCCTGTCATTGTCCTTCGACGAGGGGTCTTTATCTGTGCGAATAGAGTCTTGAAGGACGAAGCGATCAACCACGCGCGTGTGCGTGGGAGAGATCGTGGGTTTCCCTTGTATTTAACATCTATTCTCAATTATTAATTATATCGAAAGCCGAAAGGCTTTTTAATCGAAGGATTCTGCAGGCCTATTCCGTAACTTTTGATGCACGGTGCATTATAACTATAACACATTTTTTTCACATAGATTTCACGAGTTCTGGTCACGCATGCATTATTATTAATTATGATGCATGCGTTCGAAGTTGCAGAATAGGCCTGCTTAGTCGCGATGACGATGATACCGCGAGCTCGCCGCGCGCCGCTAGATCTTTTTCTTCTGGTCAGCGAGTCGCTCGTTCTGCATCATCTGCGTCGATCGATCAGTTTACGGTATAATCGTTGGCCGTAAAATAAATTATCATTATATAGGCGGTCGTGCCACGGGCTCGTGATGCTCGTTGTCTCACTCGGACTGCGACTCAGTAAGCGACGAGCGGTAGATCTTGACGAAAGTGTATGCGATTGTCTCCTCTCGATTGCGATTAAGTTGGCGATTTATGCAAGATGCGTATATCCGTCGTCCGGATATCGTCATTATTCACCGATCGTATTGTAAGTCTAAATTTCGAGAGACAGCGAGTATATCTGCGCGATGTTCTCTTTATTACATCGCCCCACAGCCTGTGACTCATTTAAACTTGTCCGCGTTATATGCGTGCGCGCACTTGAAAAGGTGCGTATGTGAGAGCGTAAACTGAAAGGCAAAAGATAGAGAGAGTGTATGAGAACACAGAGAATATTTTATATTATATACATATATATATATATATATATATATATATATATAATATACTATATATATATTATATATGTTACATGAGTAAAGGAGGCGATTGCGTGCAACGCGATTTTCGCCTCTCGATCTTCGTTTTGTGTAAGATCATTGTTTATAGCGATTTGTTAGTTTGATTTTTTTGTCTGCAATTTTTCTCTTCCTGTGATTTTTAAGAGAGTGAAAAGAAAGCGACGAGCAGCACCATCATCATTGTATATGTATATATCTCGCGATTTTTGCGCCATCGACCCTCTTGCATTCGACGAGGAAGGATCGTTCGGCTCTCGACTTGACGGGGCTGATCAGCTGATCAGCTGTCAACTCGATCAGCTGATTTGTCGCAGTGCGAATAAATAACGGCGTTGCTCTTTTTTCTCAAGAAGATAAATAAAAATAAATTAACTAATTAATTAAATTGTATGATAGTACGATCTGTCAGAGAATGTCACTTGGAATGCAGACTTTGTCGATGCGCGAATAATCGCGAGAACATGTCAGAGAGCGAATTGTTGTCGATCGTTTCTCTCCGATTCTTTGCTCTCGCGCTCGAGTCTCTCGTCGACTAAATCTCTAAACGACTGTCTCCGATTGTTATAATAACTTTATATCCTTTTACCCGCGTTTTTCTCTGACTTCCCTCGACTCGCGACATCGAACGACACCTTTCGTCGTGCAGATGTTCATTGAGTCGCGAGCGACTTTTTCACGGCCGTACGCGCGACCGGAGCCCATCCCCTAGTTTTCTCTTATTAATGTTCTTTCTCGTTATTTCATTTGGTTCTTCTCTCTTTTAGTTTTCCTTGTTTTTCCCTACGCATTTTGGCCTCGGTCGCGTGGCGATCATTCGACGAACCTTTAATTCGTTCAAGTAACGAATTGTCGACGTGAGTCGCGATTCGCGGATGTAAAGACAAGATCGTACCCGCGAATCGGGATCTTCGGTCTGTCTCGTGGACGAAAAACAGACGTCCGCAGTGCGGATGTTCGGAATATGCGATCCCTCAAAATCGGGATTGAGATTGTGACGACGAAAAATGACAGACGTCCGCGATCGTCCTTACGTCGACTCGTTACGACTTCTCTCGTCTTGAACGCGAATGACAGAGAAGAGACAAACAAATAAACAAAAAAAAATGAAAAAAAAATGAAAGAGCCTTTTTTCTCAGCCGATCGATGGCTGCGAATATGTGGAAGAGGAGAAAGATTGATTGATGCTAAAGAGTATAAGCGATGCGCAATTTAACTATAACGAATTGATGTAAGCGAATGGAAAAATCAATACTTTTCATTGAGAAGATATCTGGATTTCAATAAACTTGATACCTCGAAAACCATCCGGACAATCGACCCGGAGAGCTGAGCATATAACCGATACATAATTATACATATATAAGGTGACAAGTTTTTTGTCCCTGGCATTTATCCGGCAAAATGCTCCTCTCAATGGGTCTTCTTATTTCACTTCTTTCCGATTCCATTGACCGTAATTTCATCTTTCGATTATTTTGAAAAAAAAATTACTTTCGGTATAATTTTTGATCCCTACGATTTAGTCAAGATTTCTCCGACTTTGTGCGTTTTTTTTTTTTTAAACTACATAAATTTTTTGACTATAAAATTGTTATATAAATTGTACAAGTAAGTATTGTGCTCGAAGTGTGAATTAAAGTGTGTCAACGATAAGAAGCATTTCCGTTTTGCACAATTTCGTATCCGGCAGCGCAAAAGAGAGATCTGCGGAGAAATCAATTTTAAATTGATAGAGATAAGAGAGAGGAAAATCGCGGAAAAAAGAAATGTATATATGACGAGAAAGGAAGAGAGAGAGAAGTGAAATTTCTTGACTGTATTAAGGATGTTATGGATTAAAGCTCGAAGAAATGTGCGAAGGAGAGGATATTACACAATGAATTCGAAGTTAAGATGTAAGAGTAAAATCGAGAAAACAGAAGGAAAAAAGATAATGAGAAGGATGCGCTTAGAGATTAATCAAGATTTCAAGAAGAAAAAGAATGTCGATTACGAAAACTATCGAATCCTATCCAGATTTTCCTAATACAGAGCGTGCAAAACTCGAGATTATAATTTACAATATAAAAAAGAGCATTTTTTGAAAAAAATTGCGATTGCCTGCGAAGAAAAATCTGATACACGATATATATAGATCATTCTAATTTTCGATTATATAAAGTATATTAAGTCCACAATTTCTGAGAATGATGGATGAAAAATAAATTACCGAAATCGTAATCGGCAGATAATCTATAGTTAATAATCCAAAGAGAGAGAGAGAGAGAGAGAGAGAGAGAGAGAGAGAGAGAGAGAGAGAGAGCGAGAGAGGGAGAGAAAGATAAGTGCAAGAGGAGCGAGAGAAAGGGGGAGAGAGAGAGAGAGAGAGAGAGAAAGCTGATTATATCTAATATTAATGGCCATCAACACAAGTGATGCCTTCCTCGGGCCATCCAGACGATTATTTGATCCAACGTACATATCTTCGTATGTTTCTATTATTTGATCCAAACTATCTTCGTATGTTTCTTCCAGAATCCGATAATGAAAGTGCACCGTCACCGGTAAAATCGCAGCCCAAGGTTCCATACTGCAAGACCTACGAACAGATGAGACTAGAGGAGATCCAGGCGGAGAGCGCGGCTTATTACTCATACGAGGCCGGAAACGATGCTAAACTTTTCCGCAATCAGGCGGATATTGGCAACGCTAGGAGGATCTCTAATCGATGGGTGAATTCACTCAAGGTAGAACAACCGGTGAAGGATTTGGACTTTCAAGTGTTGAGCCTGGAGGAGATTCGACGACGAAAGAAGGAGAAAGAGCTGGTCGCTAAAGTTTTAATGGATACGTCGGACGAAATTCAAACGAAGCCTCCATCACCGATCGAAATAACTAGAACCACAAAAAAGCGTTCGATCGAGTGCATTGAAGGAAGCTCGGTTAGTCCTACCAAGAAGCGCAGGATCAGCTCCGAGTTCGCCAAGAGTAGCGAACCCATCATCAAGACGCCACCGATAAAGCTGCGAAGGACTCTAAAAAGCGTTAGTATGGCAAATGAGACCGAGACTGAATCATGCAAAGATACAGCCGGGATGGTGAAAGGTCAAGATGATGAGATATCATGTCGCGAGAGGCTGGAGAGCCACAGCAACGAGTCTGTTAACGCGAACAGGAGAAGCGAGGTGGAGGTCAGACTATGCGACAGCAGTACAAATGAGGAGAAAACTCAAACGCAACCGGAACAAGCGATGGATGACAGGAAATCGGTCGCCACGTACACGATGGAGGATATCATAAGCAGTGCGCTATTGACCGGTCAATCGTATACGAACACCGAGGATGAGTATCTAAGATTAGACTATCCGACGTCCGATGATATTATGAAAGATATCGAAGACTTGCTCAAGTAGGAAAATTGCGGTTTAAGCGACCTTAGACGAACTTATGCATAAGTAGAGATACTCCACTCACTGAGGATTATATTCTACTCTTCTTCTTCAAGGTTCAAAAATATTTAAAAAAATTTGATATAAAAATATTATCTATTCTCTTTTTATAGTATTTAAATAGACATAAATTAAAAAGCACTTAAAAAAGAAAGGATTATATTACGATCTCTTATATCGTTATAATTAGTTAATTGATTATTCATATTAGAGTTTCATTTTAATTTCTGAAACTTGTTATGTGTTATTATATTTCGAAATATAGCAAATTACAAATATTAGTTTCAATATGTACATAAATTAGCATTTCTCTTATATCTGATCTCAATAATAATTCATAATTTTTTAATTATGAAATTCTCGAGAAAAATTGAAATAATAAATATAATATTCTACACGATATATTTTGGACGTGTAGAGTATAAACATCACTTAGAGAGAATGAATGAAAGTTAAATTAAAATCTAGTAATCAGATTAATGCAGAATGATATTTCATTGCACAAGTCGAGATTAATAGATAGTAGATCTTATTTGAAATGCACACAAAATATTAAAAAAAAATGTAAATTCTATACTTCAAAGTTTTAATACTTACTTCAATCGATATTATATATGTCTTTGACGTTGAGATTCCTGATCCCTTATTGACGTCATATCATATTGAAGTATGTCAAATCGTGTGAAATTATTTTCTTGCATAATATGAAAATTGTGCAAGAAAATAATTGAAAATTGTGCAAAATAAATCAATTTAAAAAAAATTTATTTTGTTATAATATAGATTAGTAAATTAAATCGAAGATTATTTTTTTGATTCGCGTTAAATTAAAATAAATAGCTGATATTTAATCAACTATCGCAGGAATTTTTATTGAAAATAAGATTGCAATATAAATTATATATGCATTTAGGGCCGGTTGTTCCAACTCTTGGCAAGTTTTAGCCGACAAGTAGTATATCTTTGTCTCCTTTTTTAGAACTGATCTGAAAAGAGACGAAAATATGCTATCTGTGAGGTAAAAATTACCGAAAAGTTGGAAAAATCGGCTCTTAGTATTAAAAAAAATTTTCAGTATATTTTACCGAGTCTATAAAATGCGAGTGATAACATACGATAAATGTATTTCAACATTTCGTAAAAAAAAATTTCTTCATAATTCAATATGATTATAGGAAACGGGAGCCTTAAAGATTTAGGCCATATCGAATGTATTTATTATATATTATTATTTTTAAAGCCTGTAAACATTTCTTTTTGTACCAAATTACGTGATAACTATAATAATGTTATAGTTATATAGAATTATATGATAATATTATGTGCGTGCACGTACACACACTGTTGCAATTTTGCAATAAATGTCTGCTGGAGTTTATATAACTCTGGTATTACTTCTTCTATTCAATAATTCACTAATATATCACAAAGGCATAATTTTATTTTAGATAAGCTCAGAGAAAGAATTAAACATGTACATTTTTATTATTTGTACATTTTTATAATCTTTATTGATATTTAATAATTAATTGAGTATAATCAAAGCACAACTTTGTCACATTAGTACTAATTTAAACTTATCCACAAAGTGTTTTTTTTTACTCGTAGAAGTAATCCAGGATTAAACGCGCCAGCAGATCTATATCGCAATAGATAATTTCTAGTGAGGATTTAGGAAATACAACGTGTCTTCGAATTGTAAATTAATTATTAAGTCGAAATAAATATACAATTGTTACATTTGCAAGGTAAAACGATGATCTCTTTCTGCTTGCACACATTCCGCTTTCCTTTATTTCTTATAATTGGTTCAATTGTTTCGATTTGGACGATAATATAGGAGGGATCGTTGATATCTTTGCGATTATCGATTATGCTAAGAGGATTAACGAAACGGCATCGAGATACATATGAATTATCGGATCGAGATGAACACGTTCGGGAAGGAGTTGCGCTTGATTTCTAATAGGAAATCGCACGATCGTTATTTATCTTGATTTACAGTCGATATCCAATATTAGATACATGATTTACTCTCTGCAATTAAATATTTGATACAGCAAGAACGAATGTATAGGATCTCGCAAACGAATTCTCCGATTAGAAAACAAGCATTGAGAGAATTCTCGATTAAATGTACATACTATTTATTTAGAATGCATAATCGTACGCTTAACATATCTGGCCTAAGGGAAATCACAATCGGCATTTTCGGTTCTTCTTTTTTTCTCTTTTTCTTTTTCTCTCACTCTCTCTCTCTCTCTCTCTCTCTCTCTCTCTCCTTCTCTCTCGAACCTTGCACCGAATATAAATTACGAATTGATTTTATCAAGTGTATTTAGAGAATTATAGAGTCAACTATGTATATATTTATATATAAATGACTGGGTCGAGATATTCTTACGATGTACACACAACAAACTCACGTTTATTATCTCCTGATTCTCTCCGCTCTGTTTTACACGAGTATAAATAATAACGTAATACCGACTTAGAAACTATTTTTATTTCCCTTTCTCTCGCCTACAAGAATTACATCTACGAAACGTTGCGAATAAAAACTGCGAGAATTCTCGAGAGCGATTTTTCTCTCTTTTTCCCCTCTCCGATTTTCACGCTAATTATTTTTACACGAGTTGCACATTGCCGATGATTCATATTTTTTTTCACCGCGTCTCACCTTGCCCGATTCTATTTCAAAGATATTGGAAGTATAATTGTATACGAATAAAATGAAGCTGTGTAATTATAAAATTGTGCATACGTGGATGTGTGATATTTTAAAAGATTTTCTTCATATACATCTTGCCGATCATTGATATTGATACATTATAATAAAAAAATTACCACGAGTTGATTGACATGACATATCTTACAAAGATTGTGTGTTCTTATGAGTTATTGGATTTTTAATGAAGCGTTTCGAAATAAAATAGAGAAATATCTCTTTGCGTATGTTTATGTTATACCAACATTGTTAGTGAAAATTGCGAGAAAGCAGCATTTGTCTATAAATAAATAAAGGGACTCGATCGGGAAGATGTTAATCGTAAGTGTAAATATTAATTTTTGTTACAGGATATTAGGAATTTAATTTTAACGCTGAATAAGATTCATATCACCATACACAGAAATTGATTAATCCGCTTATTGTAATCCAATTCGGTCACATATTTGTTTTGCAATTATACATATAATTACTACATCGATTTATCATCAATACACAAACAGAGATTTGATCAGAATCATTTAGTTATAAATTTAGTTTTTCATCTTCACCGATAGTATAGAGCGGATTCTTTTCGTCTTGAATGATTTTCTCATACAAGTAAATATCAGCGAATTCACAGACAATGTTGTTTCTTCAAGAAGAGTTTCTGTGTGTGAAATAATGTTCATGACTTTGCGTACTTGCCTTACAGAAAACGGAAACAGTGGACGCGAACACGGACAAATCAAACTCGTTTCCACGCAGAGCTTTGGCTTAAACGAAACGCACGGGTGTGATGATCAGCTCGCTTCGATTTCTTTTTGCTACGAGACAGAGTCGCACGCACAAACAATCAACATCATAACGTGCGGAGACTTCGCACTACGATCACGCGTAACCGTGCGTGTCGTTCTTTCTTTTTTTTTTACGATAACGTAAACTAGATAGACGAAGAAGCTCAAGTCTACGGAGACGAGGTCGACGTCGACGACCACCACGGTCACTGTAGCCTCGGTGACCAATATTGCGCCGCCATATCGGGTGCCGGTTGACCTGGTACCGCGATCGGCACACTCACGCCAGGCGATATTAGACCTGCAAGAGAATTCGTTTGACATTCTAATAAATTTCATAAAATATTTTGCGTGCAAAAAAAATTATGTGCAACTTCTCTTGTGTGCTAGTTCTTTCGATAAAAATTTACATATAATTTCGCAACTGATTTTAACACATATGAAGCTATTAATAAATGTTAGTAATGATGAGAGATAAAAGAAGGTTTAGATTTATTTCTTGAGATGCTGTTTGTGTCCATCTGTCTATTCGCTAAATATTATTTTATCATCTCATCATTATTAAGAGATATGTGTAATAGCACACAAAATTAGTTCATAGATGAGCAATAATAATAACAGTATAAATACATACGTTGTATTGTATTTTTGTATGATAAAAATTATTTTTAATACACGTTAATTTTGTACAACGCGCAATTATGCTCTGTCAACATAAATTGAGCATCACTCTACTAACACCTACAATCCATTAACTAGAAATAAGAAGCGCTCAGGCGGCTAATGTAGGCGATGCAGGCGAGTAGCTTTACGGAGACCCCGTAAAGCTAGATCGCATTTTACTGATATAATGAGATGGGGAAATTTCTCACGGGATCGTTCGATCGCGCGGACGGGAATACTTTGAAGGAGGGGGACACCAAAGGGGGAGGGCAGGGAAAGACAGAAGCGTGTATAATCCATTACCGGCGGGCTCGATAGCGTGTTATCCATGGTAGCCGTAGTAGTAGTCCATCGGCTAGAGTGCAAGCAGCGAATGCAGTGAGTGCGGTAGACACTCACCGGTCGAGCTGGCGTTCTGATTGTACTGATTGAGACCCGCCGCATGATAGGGCTGCGTGGGGCTGCAAGTGGGCCTGGCGCCGTAGCCCAGATGAAGGGGCTCGTAGCTCGGCGGTCTCGCGACCCCGCACGAGTAGCCGTTGTCCCGTTGCTGGAGGCACGCACCAGGACTCGGTCCGACCGTCATACCCACGGTCATGCCCATCGGACTCATCCCACCCCCGGTGGACAGCGAGGACATGCTGCTCGTCGTGTGCTGGTTCTGCTGACTGGCGCCCGACATGGTGAAGCTCGGCATCGATGTCATTGGGCTGTAATAAAAAAAGAATATTATGACGGCGCGATTTAGCAAGATCATTTCCTCTTCTATTATCAAATATCCAATCGCTAATCATCAGTTTAATATTCCCATCTTGGATTTTGGATAGTTAGTCGGTGAAAACTTTTTTCCTCTCACCTGTATGAGTCAGGCATGCTGGGTATTCCGGGATATACGGCGGTGGGCGCAAATCCGTGGTGTATCCTGGGAGGTGAGGGTGGCGCCTGCGGTGGTGGCTGGCCGCCGAGTATCCCCGAGGGTGGCGGCGGTGTCGGGTGACCAGCACCCACCAGACTAACGCCGGCAGTGTGTTGTTGTTGCTGCTGCTGTTGCTGCTGCTGCTGTTGCTGCGGTGGCGGATTATCCCTCCGTTGCGTGCGTAATTTCTCCTCGCGCCGCCACTTGGCCCGCCGATTCGAAAACCAGACCTGAGTTAGTGAACGAGAAGACAGACGAAGATACAGGTCAATCGCTAGGCTACGGATCATTTTCGTATCGGTTGACAATCGTGGACGAAACGGCTCATTAAGAAAACGCGTTGATTCTTCTACGAAGATCTGTTACAAATTTGTGTTCATTTTTTGAGGTAATTTTTTATTGATAATCTCTTGATAATTTTATTTTATGATGATCAAGCTTTGATGTTTGTAATAAAATAACAGACCTGTATGAATGCGTAAAGAATAGTATCATAAAACTGTACATAATATTGCTTTGGATAAATGATAAAAACGATGAAATAAAGTTATATTTATAAAAAAATACTGCTACACCGTTTTCTTTCTAAAACTGCCAACCACTGTTCTCAGCCACAAATATATTCAAGAATTAAAAGGTACAGCAAATTTACATACAAATACCGAGGAATATATGTTGCATAATTATCAATTAAGTATATATAAAAATTCATCACGTCTTATAATAAGTGAATAACGAGTAGCTCGATTTAAGATCAAACGTGATAATTGAGATCTTGACATAAATAGAAGAAACACCAAATAATCTGATAAAATTTACAATTATTTACCAATATATAATATATTAATCGACAAAATAAACTCGCTATTTAATATTGTTTTACGATTGCTAATTTTTTTGAAGAAACTATTACGCTGTCATTTTTATTTAAAATCTCGGTGTCGATTCTCTTGTTCTTATGCAAGTATCGGCTAAGAAGGTGCAAGAATAGTCACCTGTATTCGCGCTTCCGGTAGGCCGATCTTGCCGGCGAGTCTCTCCCTGGCGAACACATCCGGATAGTGCGTTCTCTCGAATTCCTTCTCGAGCGCGTCGATTTGCTCGTTACTGAAGCTCGTGCGATTCCTCTGCAGCTTCCTCTTTAGACGAAGACGTGCCTGATCGTCATCAGCACCACCCGACACGCTGCCGGCGTTGCTGTTGTCACCTCCGCTGTTCGTTTCGTCCGAATGCGCGCCACCCTCGAGCTCGGTTACTGTAATGATAAAACATATCGCCTGTTATCAACGCTTGTCACAGAGCTATTAAGAGCAACTTTTTCCTTCGTATTGTATATGAATTAAATATGGTACGCATGAAATATAATTACGGTGACCTCCCGTCCTTTATTTTAGAGGATGAGCCTTTATTTCAAGTAGCTGCCCTTTAGGTTCATTCATTTTCCCAAGATTTAATTTTGTCCTTTATTTTTTTATTTTAGAATTCCCTTTTTTTGCTCGATCTCCACTTTTTGGTCGCAAACTAATTTGAAAACATGTTGAAACAAACCCTAAAATTTTCAAATTTCTCCTTTATTTGTTAGAAAATATGGTTGCCGTAAATATAGTATGATTATTTTATTAAAAGAATTTCTTGCGAATTAACTTTCTATTAAAGCGACCAAAATATAATTAAGAATTTTTAAAATGCACTCATATATCAGTTTTAAATTAATATATTAAATAATTCATTTATATATCTTTGATGCTTTAAGCTTTAAACGAGTCATCAAACATCATATAGAATTATGAATATTTATTAAATTTTATAAACTCTATTTTTTTCTAAAGTTTTGAAAATATAAAATTTACATTCAATCTGCATAAATGAATACCAAAGACATGTGCATTAAAAAATTTAATAAATATTCATAATTCTTATAAAAATTAATATATGACACGTTTGAAGGCTCACTTAGGCTCACTAAGGGATGAAGCTTGAAAAATCAAAGATAATTAAAGGAATTATTTAATATATTTATTATTATTGTAGTATTTAATATCGAATATACCTTCCTCAAAATAATTAAGGGATCAAAAAAATTATGCTAAAAATAGGCAAATATTTCAAATGTTTGCTTATTTTTAGACAATTTTTTTGATTCCTTAATTTTTGAGGAGTACATTACAAGACTACAACCATTGATTTTTGGCCAGAAATTTAAATAGAAAAAATTCTTTTCAAATTCAAATTCAAATTTTAATTAAAATTAAAGTCCATTACTCTAGAAAATTACACACTTGGCTAATGATTTTTCCAAATATCGATATAAAGACTATCTCTTTTAAATCTCTCTTTCGAGCGAGTTAAGCTTTACAGAAATCGCTCCTGGTTGTAACGGAGAAGGAAATCGGCGATGTATTATCGATGTCAGGATGTGTGATAACGTGGCACACGATTTGGGGTTTCGCTTACTCTCCCCTTTCTCTCCCTTTCTTCTCCCTCTGATTTTCTTATATCAATAGCTGCACGCGTTATATACGCTCGCGTCTTTGTAGGTGTATCTATTCGTATGTATGTATATGTGTATGCATACATGTGGGACGCGCGTATGTGAAGGAACACGAGCGGTATAGGCAGGCGTCGCCGGGTGAACCTTATCGTCGGTTTCTGGGTGAGCGCGTCGAGGCGTCACCGGGTTTGCTTCGACGACGACGACGACGACGAGGGGAACGGCGCGGAGACACAGGGTAGAACGAGAAGAGGACGATGAAGGAGAAAGCGCGGGGGATGAGGCTATCCGGGTGCCCGATAAGACGACGTCCCGACCGCCAGTCGCCGGCCACCCCCCTACGAGATATGCCACTGTCATTTCGCGACTACCACCTCTTCGTTGGAGAGGCTCGACTCAGAATCTGGCTCGATGTGACACGCGACTTGTCGCTGTGTTATCGAAAATTATATATTTCATTATATATTCTATGTATATAATTGAGAGTTCTGTCTTCTATATAATTCTATATCATTATTTATCACTATAATTAGTGGTAAGAAATCATATTTTTTCACATAAGAATTTCCTAAATTTCTTATATATTTGTATCTCCATCATCCTCGCATTTAATTAAAAATATATTTTATTTAAATGCGAAATCCATTATATGCTTTCAGCAATTTGCATTTAAAAAGTGTCCACCTCTGAATGTCTGTTAGCAGATTTTATTCTTATTATGACGATAAATATAATTACGTTAAAAGATATTTCGATGGGGATAAATAATATTTAATTTGATAAAAAACGTATAATATTAATCAAGTAAAAGATCCTACTGGAAATAGCTGTCACCTTTGAGTCATCAGTATACAGATATTGCTGAAAGATAGGGTAGAGTAAATCGCATTTTTCATACATGACGTTAGATTCGGAACTCGGGGATAACGAAAACGTCTGTAATGATCATCGCAAAATCCATCCTCCCACAGGCTCACCCCTTCGTACCTTCCTCCACGTGATTCGCTCGAGGAAGCTGGCAGACGGCCACGCTAGTAGCGGCAAAGTTCTCGCGGCTCGGTAGGGTTGGTTGCCTCGAACTTCCTCCCTCGCGTTGAGGAGAATCGAGTGCGACGTTGGCGTACAAGTTCTCCGGAGGTCTCCAACCCCCTTTCCATCCAGCAGCCTCCTTCGGGGTTGCTCCTTCGTAACCGTGTACTGCAAACGATATCTTTAGGGCCGGCCCTCTCCTCCGTCAGTATCCACGGCGCGAGGTAAACGTTACGAGGGTGTCTTAAGCGGTAATTAAAACCGCCTTATCCCTCCCTTCCCTTTCCTTTCTCCTCTTCGCCCTTCCGAACCTTCCGGAACTCGGAGGAGCAACTTTGGGCCTTCGCGGTTGCTGGATCTCGTCTTTAACATCGCGTTACTGTTCATCGTTTCTACGCGGTGTACTCGCGAGTTTAACAGCGATGCGGAACTCGACGATGCCGAACGTCGAGCATTTAAGGGGAAGAGATTTGCCGTCGGAGTAAGTCTAAGTTGGGCTGAATTCACGAGGTGAACCGGTAACTAAAAATTTATACCGTCGTCTTCGTAATCTTCCAAACGTACTAGACCCCGTATGATAATGTATCGTGATTATTAATGAATTTTTTAAAACATGTCGCGTAAAAAATGTTCGGAGCAATTTTTGTTAAATGTGTAAGATTAGAAGAATTTAGTGGACATAATGAAACTAATGTTAATGTTATATTTAAACGACTGATCATTTATATCTTATTTTTTTTTCAATGCGATCCTTTTTTCCTTCTCTTTGTCGATGCATAAATTCTTGTCCTGATCAGTTGTATATTTTAATTAAAAGAACCGAACTTCGGAGATGCTAAAAATGTCACAACATTAAATATATTTATGCTACTTTATACGATGGGGCGAACAAAAAAAAATATATATATATATATATCTTCCCAAGGCACAAATCTCCATACTAAAGAACGTTCGAAAGGCAGGAGCTAAACGCGGGACCATTTTACCCATGGAGGGGAATCCTCGTCATCCAGGCAGCTTCTCGTTTCCCCCTGTCTCTCCCTTCGGTTCTGGCCCCAACCAGATCATTCGCATCTTCCTTCAACGAATTATCCACCAACCGGGAATGCTGTGCGTTCGAGCGTGATGGCGGATGGTTCGTGGTTTAAACTACTAACGTCGTTACGTGCATTCGATTTTCTTCCGATATTTTACACGCAACATTTTTAATGATGTGCGTTTTGTGTGCTCCTGCATTTGTACACTTCTATTTAATCCGGACTTTAGTCCGGATATGTTTTACCGTGCAACGGTTTTTTCCTGAGCCGAAATAAAAATAATCAACCTTTTTAAACGATTTAAGAGACACGGTGAATTTTCTACAGCGTATTTTATCAGTAATTACATTTTAAATTTTAATTACATGCTTATTATAATTTAAAAATTATATAAATATTTGCTCTGAACGCTTTTCCCCTGATAATTATTCCTCTTCGAGTGAAGAGTATATCAGAACCTACAGTTAAACGTAACAAAAATTATTTTCATTTCGCCCAAATTAATTTATTTTAAATTTCATTTTCTAGAAAGGTGTTGCTTCTCTTTTCGAAAATCCAGAAAATGGATTTCTCGTTGTTCGCGAGACAAAATCAGCGTCGGTTGTTTTTTACAAATAAAAACTGCGGAACACTGTGATCACTTGCAGTCGTTAAAACGCGTCTTCGGACCGAATAGAGTCGAGTGTGCGCGATCGTCGAGAGAGAAGGGACGTTTATATTAACGTCGATAATGGACTTGGTGGTGCACTTAGCTAAACGCTTTAAAAACTGCGTCGAAAGAGAGGGTATTGTGCGCGAACGTGCGCGGCCGCGACAATGCGCTCTTGCGACGACGAGGTCGCATTGTGGCGGTTCGTATCGGGGTAGTTTACTTTCAATCGTCGCGCGATCGGCCCGGGAAAAGGATCATCGAGCACAGTATAAGAATAACAAGAGCGAGGAAACAAAGGATCTATCGGCTAGAGAGAGAGAGAGAGAGAGAGAGAGAGAGAGAGAGAGAGAGAGAGAGAGAGAGAGAGAGAGAAAAGACGAGAGAATGGCGAAAAACTCTCTCTTTCTCTTCGAAAGTTTCTGTTGCTCTCCTAACTCGACCACGAGAAGTCATTCGAATGAGAAATAAAGAATAAAAAGAGGGAAGAAAAATACACAGGGGAGGACCCTAGGAGCTTCCTACTTCTCTCTCTCTCTCTCTCTTCTGGTCCACAGACGTGGACTATTGCGAGTTGAAATTCACAAGGGTTGCAACTCGATGATCGAAAAGGAAACAATGCTACATTTACACGATGAAACTTGACGTATAGGGTAAACGGCACGTGGTCCACTCGTGCGTGCCACGCAATCGATTCTTCACTGATTGAGAGAGGCGCGTTTCCTCTTTCGGTCCTCTTGGATGAGGAACACAGTGGCCAGACGCAAAGTGGCAAGCGTGAAGTGGCCAACTTTCAGACCGCGAGCTTCGTCGAGGCGTGATTAACGCGGCTTTCGTCTGGGTAGAGAAAACGTTTTGCGACGAGAGATCGAGCTCTCGAGCTATTGCAATGAACGATCAGCATACAATTGTACAAACGTACACGTATACACACATGCGCGTTCTATCATTCACCCTACGTTCTTAAATTACATTTTGAATCTGCTGGCTAATAAAGTCTTTGAACGGTTTATAATTTGCGGAAATTTAGGTCACAATTTGATTCCTAA